TTCCTCGACAAATGCAGTCTCAGATTCCTTGTACTTTTCATAGTGTGTCTGTCCGTCCAGGTTGATCAGCTTGCCGCTGTAGTCTGCTGACACCGTGTGCCATGCGCAGAGCACATCTCCTTCTTGGACCATCCGTCCAACGTAGGGCAATCCGTCCTCATCGAGCAAGCCACGGTAGAAACCCTTGACAAAACCGCCGGGAGCGAAACCGAAGAGCTTGGTGATATTCTTGGTGGCTCGTGTTCTCTGTTCTTCCTTCAGGGTGACCTTCTTCGTCTTGTAGATGGTACCGTGTCCGAATCCTCTTTCGTGTGCCGACTTGTTCAAAATCATGGCGTCGTCCATGTCGTAGCCAGTGTATGAGATAACCGCTACAACGGCGTTGAAGCCGTTGGGGAAGTTGTCGAATCCATAAGCGTTGTGTAGAGGCGATCGTACGACCGGTGTCTGGCCACTCTGAATTCTGTACATCTTGTTGTCCGTTCGGTGCCGAAGAGCCGTTGCCGGTGTTCCCATGGTTTGCTTACCCATCTGACATTGGTACATGTTTCTGGGAGACTGGTTGAAGTCGGAGAAGGGCGTCATGTTGGCAAGAATGGAGAGCATGTTGGTAGGAGTTTCCTCCACGTGCGTCGACTCGCCTGACACAATTTCGTTCTCAACAACGGCGATAGACATGTAGGGTTGCTCGTAAGGCCCCACAAAGTCCACCTTATCAAGAGGAAGATACTTCACGGGTCTGACCATACGCGCAGGCGCAGAAGACAAGTAGATACCAGGGTATGAACCGCCGTTTGAAGGTGGGACGTATCCAATTTCCAGTTGGAGAGGGACACCGTGAGTGCCCTCCACCTTCCAGAAACGAAGAGTGTCTGCGATTCTGAGAGATTCGCGAGGTGTGCAGAAGCCGATGAGCTTGCCATCAAGCATGATGACAACGCTTTCATCTGTAGCCGCAGAAGACGTCTCCACAGCTCCCAGCTCCGCCACAAGGCCAGGGATCTTGGAGGCGTCGACGGAATCGGTCATGATCTTACACTTGTGAGCCAGATGGTTAAGCAAACCGCAAGGCGAACCATCAGGAGTGTGTACGGGGCACAGGAAACCCCAAGACTCGGGCAACAGCTTTCGGACCGTTGTTGTCTTCAACTCGGCGAAGAAGGCACCTCTGTGAATCATTCGGAAGTGACTGATGAAACGGAGAAAGTTGAGCTTTTCCGCAACAACTGTGAAACCGGCTGTTTGTTGCAAATCAAGACCAGAAGGACTGGTCAGATTACCTGTGGAAAGGAAGTATTCCAGGCCGTTTCCAAGGTTCTCGTTGGCGTGTCTGAAGATATTGGCAGGGAACTCCTTGGCAAAGTCCTGCGATGTGAAGGGGGTGGCCGGGTGCTTTCTGGTCCATTCGCGGAGAGACAATCTGACAGCAGTCGACAGGAACTCCTCAAGGCGCTCCTTGATGATCATGCCGTACAGGAAACCGCCAAGAAGGACCTCCTGGTTTTGGACAGCATCAGGGTTGTCGACAGCGCAGTCGCCTGCCACGAGAGCATACAGCTTTCTGATCATGAACAACAGCATCTTGAACTTGTCATTGTCCTGCTTCTCGGTAACGTTGATGTTACCAAGGTGAACAAGAACAACCTTGCGCAGGAACTCAGTGCCGACATCGTAGTTGGACATGGTGTCGGGTACACCCATCACCACGCGGAACTTCTCTCCCAGGTAGGCTCTCGTCTCGGTCTTGCTGTAGAGTCCGTATGACTTGTAGGTTCGTAGCAGCAGCTCAACACGGTCCGTCAAGAAACTGTTCTTGGCCGACTTCGTGTTGGAGAGACCAATCAGTCCTTCGAAGATGTCGCGATCGTTTGTGTCGACGAGAGCCTTGAGGACCATCATGACCGGTACAAGGTACTCATTCTTTTTCCAGGAGAAGCGGAACGTCATGTTACCGTCACTCAGGTAGTGCAAAACGTTGGTCTGAGATGTCTCATCTGGTCTGACGGATCGGACGATGATACCGTACGGGGTGTAGCCTTGGCCTCGGTTTTGGAAACTCGGTCGGTTGATCGCCATGGGGAAATTCCTTCGGTTGACTTGCAGCAGTCGAATAATCTTTTCGATACCGTTGACGATGAAGTAACCGCCCAGTTCTTCGGATTCCTCCTTTCTTTGCACCAACTGAGCAGGGGAGTTGCCCTCCAAGTGACATCTGTTGGACTGCCAATCCCTCATTAGCACCCCGCCGTCAGTTTTGCAATTGGTGTACAGAAGCACTTACCTTGACCATAATTGGCACCTGTCCAAGCTCGCGCACAAATTCTTTCGGATCACCACCATTGACCCTGTACTCGAAGGTGGCGGAAAGCCTGCCTCGGTACGTCGAATGACGCTCTCTGCATTCGGAGGGCAGGATTTCACGATTCCTGGCGAACTTGTTGGAGGGGGGTAGCTGAGACTTTTGCAGCGCTACACTCTTGATCCGTACAGACAGGCGGTTCTTGCCCTCGAGGCCCGCCCTGTCGTCGCCATCGAGGTACGTCTTTGTGCCAATATCCTCTATGCCTCGAGCGAGGAGGCTCTTGTCGTCACTTGTGAACAAGGCATTGAAGGAGTCGATGTGAGGGCTCACGGCCTCTTGCAGGGCAGGATAGGCCGTGTGATCCTTCGGGGGGTTGCGGAAAAGGTTTTCGCGACGAACGGTATTGTATTGGTGATCCCACTCGGTGCTTGTCGCTGAGGGCGCCATGTTCGCTCTCTCGTTCGCTTGCCTGCGACTGCGATTGTTAGCTTCAGGCTTGACTTCTTCCTTCTTTCTTAGTGAACAATTGCTGGCTTACGGGGGACTATGTCATGTAGATGTAGCGATATCAAGGACTGGTCTCCCTGGGCAGGACAAAAGCGACAGACAAGGAGGGCGAAAATGTAGACTTCTTCCTACTGCACCCGGTTTCTGGATCGCAGAGGGCGAGATGCGTCAGTCGGGCCCTCGGTGGAAACAAAAAAATAATTATGGAGATTGGAGCGGAAAAAATTGCATCGTCCAATCATGGCGCGGCCTCATTGAAAGTGCAGGCCGTTATCCAAGACAGTGCGAGGACGGTGCTTTATCTGAGGTGCGGGGCCATGGTCTTGAAATGCTCTTCCGGAATGGAGCCCGCGTAGGCGGGACCCCACTGTTGCGGGATTGTGCACCCGGGACTGAGATGCTCTCGGCGTTCCGGTTATGAAAGGCACCCGATATCCACGGAGACCGACCCACTCCCGTCCGTACGCCAGCCTTCATCTCAGACACCGCCGTGCTCTACTTTGTACCTTGTGAACGCCGAAGTTGATCAGTCGTAGGGACGGGATATTGCGTGTCCTGCAGCTTCCTTGACTGTGACACCAATGGTTCGTTACCTCTAATCTACCACGAAATTTCAGTCACATTTGACTGGACCCGGTTGGTCACTCAGCGTGATGTGAACCCGACAGCTGGGAATGGCAGGCGGAAGTGGACGCGTCAATGGTTGGTGGCTGTCATCGCCCGGGTTCGCTGACGGAACTCTGCTCTATTCGTCTGATGATCGAGATGGTACATTGGGTTGGTGGCAGCACCATGCCGCAATGAACTTGAGTGGTCTTACAAAGTCGAATCAGCACAGCGAATTCTGACATAGGATTGTAGTACCTACCTAGCCAGGGAAACCTTTCAGTAAGACGGGAATTTCCAGCCCAAAGTGGGATCCGTCAGGCAAGGCAAGCAACCTTCACTGGGTGGCCTAAGGTGTAACAGCTATCCGCACTAATTATAAGGTAGGGTAGCAGAAAGGTGAAGTAAGGTAGGTGAGGTGAGGTAAGGTCAAGTCAGGTCAGGCCTTTAGGCGTAAAGTGGTCATGCCGCATCCCCGGAAATCGCTGGTTCTCACCAATGCTCGCAGTGGATGGGTACCCTCCCCGTCAAATCTAGATTTCGGGAGTCTCCTAAGAATGCAACTAGCAAAGGAAGACTCCTAATTAGTAGGAATTGCAGCGAGCAGCTGGCGACTTGCAGCCCAATCTACACTAACTGGGCCCGATTCACCGAGACTAGGAGCTAAGGCATGTCCATGGACATTTTACGTGAGATACCCCCACCGAGGTACTCGCGATACATACTTCTCGCTCCCACTCTGTGCGAGGTAGTCCACAGTCTCCGCGACTCCGCACCCGTCATGAGATGATGACAGGGTGATGCCCGGGGGATGCATAACATATGCTGCCGCCCTTGCCTCTTGGCCTCTGCCTGTCTCACCTGCCAAGCCCCTGTCCTCTCCAGCTTTTGGTGGAAGTTCCGTACTTACACAGTAATAGGTATCTTTCCATCCACCTCACACCTCACTAAGCACACCAAGGTAACTGAGGGCAGTGAACAGTTCTAACACCTGCTGCTTGTGTAATGACACCACCTTAGCTCGGGAGAGAATATCGCAGACTTAAATTACCGATTTTCTTCTGTTCTGTAGTAGGAAGTTCTCTCGAGCCTTAGTCGTCAGATTATCCAGCCAGCTCTGCGCATTTGTTCTGCTAGACTACCTATAAACAAACAAACGGGCAAGTTGCCTTCTTTCTCCCCCGCCTACATCCTCTATTCCCATAGTTCCTTACTACGAGATCTAGAGAAACGGAGAAAGTAAGGCAAGGCAGAGAAAACAGAGATTATCTCACCGTACCAAAGGTAGGTGAGTACCATAGCTGAATAAGTGCTGCACCCTCCATTAGGCGTAAGACTGAAGTGACTAACTGCCTTCCTTGCCCAAACCTTCCCTCCCGTACCGGGCATACTAACCCCCAGCCGTGGAAGGTACATCTTACGGAAAAGGCTCCTTCCTTCCATGAATATAATTGGGTTGCCTGCGGCTTTTGTCGCCCGCGTGCTTGCCTGCCTGGAGAAAGAGCCCAGCCTGCCTTACAGTCCTTCCCTTTCATTACCTTACCTTACCTACCTTACCTTACTTCACCACCCTACCTAGGTAGTTAACGGCCATTACCTGACCATGCGCCGTTGTTGCTAAATACTCCCGATCTGCATCCTGCTTTCCCAGGAAACTCGAGGCTTCCATCTCATTGCTTTCTATTCATCCAGCCCGGTCCGCCTTTCATCCAGCTCGTGCCATCGAAATATCCATTTGGCTGCCTCTCAAGGTCGAGCCTGCATAAAGTCTTCGTCCCGCTTGCAGAACCCTACCCAACCTCCGTTACTGGTGATCCTTCCAAAAAAGACAGAGAAAAAAAAGGTAGCCACCAACAAACGCCTTTGTCGGCGAGCCGCCCGGTTCTCGCCTCGCCTCGCCTCTCATCACAGTCACAACGTCATTAGACGCCCAACGTTGACGACCATTCTCCCCTCTCCATCGCACCGTCCTGCCTCGGCCCGCACGCAGCCAGCCCTCGCAGGTTGCTTGACGGAAATTGCCAGACAAATCTGGAGTTGTGCCGCCTGCAACAATCTGGGTTCTCACGCGCCCTTCATCCTTCCACTCACCTTCCCCTTGTCGACATATCTTTCTTCATTGGGAAATCTTTCTACCATCTACTCATCTACCCATCCACCTGCAAACGTGACCACCTGAGCAACCTTACCTTGCACACCTTACCTTACCCTGAGGCCGACTAAACAACATCCGAGGCGGAAAGCCAGCCTTCACGCCCACCGCATCAATTCGGGGCTTCCTTTATTAGCCTTGGAAGTCTGCATGTCTTGGCCTTACTTTGGACACCACGGTTCGAATCGCTGCAACCCTTCAACCTAAGCCGGCTAAGACCGACTTGGCCCACCCATATCGGGTTCTGGTGACTCCCAGGACGTCTAGGTTATCGCGCCTCGTCGCCGTCTACCTCTGCCTACCTTAGCCGTTCGCCCACCGGATTACAAGCACCATTAGATTCAACCATACGTCACATCACCTTCATTTAACATTGGCAGCCGGGAGCAGGTCCACGAGCTTTCACATCAGGTCACGGAAGCGTACTTTAGTCAAGTCATCCACGTCTGCCAAAGAGATTCATCATAGTCGGGACGAGCGCCGTTGTATTGAATAACCGCCTCGTAGGCTGGTCCTTGTCGAAAATCACCCTTCGCCGCCGCCGCCACGCTCCCATCTCATCCCTGCTACCGCCGCCGTTGCTGTCGTCAGTGGATTGACTTCCATGCCGCTGCCGCACATAACGTACTGCAAAGGCACTCACACCGGAACTCAGGTGCACCGGCACCCGGTGGACATACAATTTCGTCCCTGATCGCAGCCCTTTCTCGCGCCTATCGTGGACAGATCCACATGATCCGGTAGAAGCAAACGAATGAAACCCCAGTTGTTGATCTTGTAACCGCTGCAGACCCTGTCAACGCGGTTATTCCCAGTCGTCTTTTCATCCCCAACCGCCAATTCTTGCGACTCCAAATTCGGCACTGTTCATTCTACAGCTTGTGCCCCTCCCCTCCCGACCCCGGTCCCTCGACCCCAAGCTTGAGCCGGATCCAGGGTACTCAGTCACTTCCACGACCCATCAACCCTCACCATCCCGTCTTTCTCTGGTGGGGACCTACTATACCTTACCTTACCTCACGGGCTGCTCGAGGTACCTACCTCTTCCGGCCCCAAAGGGACAGACCAGGCCAGGCCAAGCGTCACCTGCGCTCTTCTTTTCTGGTTCCCGCCCGCCGCCTGCACTGTCTGCACCTGCATCTGCGCCGCAACTTGCTCTCAGTTCCAGTGTCGTCGCCCGCCAACGAGAAACCAGCGACGCCCATCGAGCCTCTCTCTCTCTGTCTCTCCCGCCCCCATCATCGCACAGAGCAGAGCAGCAACCTGTGCCGCCATCTCCCACGTCGATGCCAGCGACATTTGACTTGCGACATTTGGTCGGTTACCACGGGTCATACGAGACATTTTTATTTCCAATTTTCAAAGGCGTCTGAGCGCATCGAATACTTAAGCATCCAAATCACAACTCCGCACCCATCCTTCATCCCTCTCCGTCTCTCACCGTATCGACGACTCTTCCGAACGAAATAGCAATCGCCACGCCACCGACCTTTCTCCGTTGCGCAACCTCTATTGCCGTCACGCTATATCCGCATCCAAGATCAGCACACGTTGGCGACACCTCTTTTGGCCACCTACGCATACTATACCACCTCCTCCACACCAGCGCATCGCGCTCATTATACCACCATGGCGGGGCTTTTCCGGAAAGTGTACGACTGGCTGTTGAGGACGTTCTGGTGAGTGCACTTTGCTTCCCGCGATGAACAGCGGGGGTGATTTTCAGCGATGGACGGCCCGCGCGCTCTGACCTTACCCCGCCGCGCCCACTCTGCCCTTACCCTCGATCCTCGGGGATGGTATCTTGAGCTTGAGTTGACTTGCGACGACAGGGCGACAGAGATGGATGTGACGATGATCGGTCTCCAAAATGCGGGTAAGACGTCTCTACTCCGCGTCCTTGCAGTAAGTGAATCCTTTCCTACATTGCCAGGTTTTCCTTCGCACCAAAGCCGTTCGCACGCTGACATTTACACTTGCAGGGCGGCGAGTTCACCATCGAGTAAGCGACCTCCATTTCTTCTTCGCCCCTCAGAAACCCCTCAGAACTGCCTACTGTGCCATCTCTGGTGTAATCGGTCTCGGCTAGCGGCATCTTCGGCTAACTGAAATCTCGTGTAGCTCGATCCCGACGGTCGGATTCAACATGAAGCGGGTGCAACGAGGACACGTTACATTGAAGTGTTGGGATATTGGTGGCCAGCCCCGATTTCGAACGATGTGGGAAAGATACTGCCGTGGCGTCAACGCTATCGTCTTCATCGTCGATATCGCTGATATGGACTTGCTACAGCAAGCTCGGGAGGAGCTTCATGCTCTCATGGACCAAGCTTCTCTGAGGGAAATCCCGCTCCTTGTTTTGGGGAACAAATCGGACCTCCCACAGAAGTTATCGGTGGACGAGCTGATCGATGCGCTTGACCTCAAGTCCATAGGCCACCGCGAGGTCTGCTGCTACGGCATCAGCGCCAAGGAGGAGACCAACTTGGACGCTGTGCTACAGTGGCTGATGAAGTGGGCGAACAGGTGATGCGTAATACTGACGCGCGTTGGGTGCCTCGATCCGCCGCGTTTCCAGTTGTCCCGCCCTGCCGTTCCTTCTCGATCGTATCCCTCTTGGGCTTCCGGGCTAGTGGGTTCGAAGGGGCAATACTAATACTGAAGACGAGGGGGAGTTATCCGGCATGGTGTTCGGTGTCGAGACGTCGTTGTGTCGAAATTGTCCTCCAAATCGCGGATCTTCTGACGTTGTTAGTTGGTCTGCGATAGCATTAGCAGCAGTAAGCGTGCCAAGTCCCCCATGGCGTTTTCACCATGTCCCATATACCGGAGCGGGAGGGAAGGGGACTGTTTTTAAGCGATAATTTGGACGGCATGTCTGGAAGCAGGGCGCTTGCCTTTGATTTTGAAGTTAGGACGCCGGAATTTCCAGTCATTTAAAGGTCATCCAACCTAGAAATGCTGGTACGCGGCACCGCTCAAGCGAGAAATAGCAACGTAGAAAGGAGCAGAGCGGGGTATAAGTGGGTGGCCATGACGATGCTACGAAAGTAGACGAATGAATATCATGACTGATGTACGATCGCTTGATCTCCTGTCCATGTTTGATTTGTATGAGGTTTACGCTGCCACGCCAAAGCTCTGCGTATATGAAGAAGGTGATGCAGTCCACCATAAAATCGACATGAGCTGGTCTGACCCACAGCACCGGTGTGTGGTGGTGTTGAGAAAGAATGAGGTACAAGAATTGAGAGAGTTAGGAGAGGGGTAGACGACAGAAGAGATAGAAACCAAAGTAAAGACCGTGGGATGTCTCGAGATGAAAAGTAAAGAGAGGAAAGAGAGGGGTCAAAAGAGGGAGGAAAAAGATATCAAGTTTTTCGTCAGTCTCTATTTTCCTCTCTCTTTCTCGTTCAGCAGTGGCAGTCTTGCTCTCTCTTATTGTCATTCCCTTTTGCGCAGCACACAGACCAGAGACTGCCAGCGCATCGCGCATCAATGCATCGTTTTCCATCTGCTGCTGGCGCGACGTGATTGGTCCGCCAACCGACGCTTCCGCACCCCTTTGCTGCAGGGCCCATGGGGTGAAGGACGGAGAGGAGGAGGAGGGGTGATTCGGTGCCCGTTGCGCTGAGGTGCTCTCTTGTCTGTTGCGTTGTGTTTTCAATGTCTCGGAGGTTCGGGAGAGAGTGTGGGGAATGTGAAGTTGAAAAGGTAAGGAAAACTGAGTAAGGTAGAACAGGTAAGTAGATCAAAGGAGAAAACGGTTTGGAAAATAAACGAGAGGTGGAAAATAAAATGTGCCCTCTATTGGAAATAACGACGTATTTGGGGGAGAGGGCAAGAAAATCCCCCTCCCGCAGGACCCATTCAATGAGCGATGCCAACGATGTGTTAGCCAGGGATGGCCTGGTGATGCTTGGGACGCTAGAGGTGGCAGAAGTGCCAAGCGGACAGGACAGCTGCTTTTCCTGCTTGCTTCCCGTCGTCAACCCCACATTCACTGACTGGACGCCGGTTCACTCGCTCACTCTATATCACCTTGGCTATTTGCTTTGGATACCTGGGAAGGCAAGAACAATCTCCAGCCTTTTGACTTGACTACTTTCACCTCACTTACCTTCTCGAATTCACAGTGAGCGAATGAGTTAGTGTATGGCATTCGGTGAGCCCATGGCTACTGTCACGTAAGGTGAACATGGAATGTGGAACTCGTGTACCCACTCAAATACTCATTGCTCGCTCGCTCATTCGATGTCATCCAGATCACCGCAATACATCTTTGTCAAGGAACTGGAATGCCTCTCACACCACCCACAAGGCAATGCGGCACGAGCATGAGTGTTGGGAATGTATTGTACATGGCGTTGAATTCTTCTAGTGCTCGGAATGACTTGCCAGATGCCATCCCTCTTGGGTTCGCCGTCCATCCCTCCAGGAAAAAAAAGACGACGATGCGGTTCCTCCATCCAAGCAGTAACTCCATGCTAATATGCCCGATTAAAACAGAATAGAAAATAACGAGCATGACCAAAGAAGCAAGAGACGGGAGTTCAGGACAGTCATGGGTAGTCATGGGTAGTCGGTAAACCCAGCTGAAGGCCCATCCCTATTCACCATATAACCAAACTTTTCCGGCTCATCCAGTAGAATACTCGGCATATCTGTATTATTCTCGAGGCGCACAAATTGGTCAACGTCCCGGCCCCAAAGGTCTTTTCCGTTCCTAATGGCGTCCGCTATACGGTCCTTGTTTCGAAACCTCTCGCCATTCATCCACTCGTGGGAGAAGGACGACATCTTGGTGAGGAACTCATCGACGGTGGCGAAGCAGCTGGAGCAGTGCCAGCAGGCGTTCCCGAGATTCGCCTTCTCCAGATCGTAAAGCGGCTTGAAGCCCCCGTCTCCCATTCGCAGGTTCGCCGGAAGGAGCGTGCGTTGGCCCTGGTAGTAGGTGGCTTGCGGGTGTTCCCACTCAGGTCCCGTGTGGAGGAACTGGAAACTGTAATAGTAAAACCGGCTACGCAAGGTGAGGCGACGGGGGAATTGGCACGTTCGCAGCACCAATAGTGTTTCCGGTCGAGCAATCTCGTCAACGTCGGCGACGAGGATAACGTCCCCGTATACCGGAGCCTGCTTTCCGACGAGCCTAGGCAGCACTTGGGTGTACATGGCGTTGCGTTGTAAGTCTTCGTAGTCCCACGACCTTCTCGGATTGAAATCTGACGGGAATTCGAGCTCGTGGTAGATAAGCTTGTCATGGTAAGGCTTGAACCGGTCCCAGTTCTCCTTGATCGTGAGTGGCTTGGGCCTGCCAGTAAAAGTCTTTGGAGACTCAACGATGACAAAGTAGTCAACGTAGTTGTAGGTAGAGTTCAAGCGTATTTCCATCCAGTCGAGCTCTGTGTTGACCATGAATAGGTCGTATACCTTTCGCTGGCCAGTCTCTGACTGGGGAACAAAGACGGGGTAACCGTGGTGCTTGCAAAACTTGGCGGCAGCATCGGAGGAGTAGAAGCCATGATGGTCGCTCTTGTTACCGAAATTGAGACCGCCCTTGGGAAGCTTAAGGGACAGGTCGAGGTTTGATATGCGATGGTCGAATCTGTCAAGTGCAGGATGTTGGCTAAAGTACAAAATGAGGCAGATCGTTATCGCCAACAAGAGTTTCAGGATGACAGGAAAGCCAATGTGCCATTGAAGAACCATGGTGTCGATGGGCTAGGCGTTGACTGACAGATGGCGACCTGAGTAGGAAGGGCAGATGTTCTGGTCTTGAGTCGTCGCGGCGAGGCTGTTTCGTTTCACCTCTCAAAACAAAATCTGGTGACCGGGTTTGAGGTACGGCGAATGCAGTCTCCACCCTAATCCGGTGTTACTGGTAGGAGCGTGAAAGGAAATCCTAGCCAGAAGGCAGTGTGAGGAACACAGGCTTTGTAGAGCTGCTCAGATGAGAGCATCCGGGCCACGGATCGTTTGATGGCGGGAACAGCCCTGTCGCATATTTTCAGAACTGGGGAAGTGTGTAAAACCCAGGATGCCAGGGGAAGGAACCAGTAGGTATATAAAGTGTATGATTATGTCGAGGCTCGGACAGGCTCGAGCACCGGTGTCACCTGTGAAATATGAAGTAGCTTGAGATGCCAGAGGAAGGGGCGTGGGGGGGCGAGCTGAAGCAAAGTCAAGCAAGTACACGCGCTTTAATGAAATAAACGTTTTACACTAAGGTAGGCAAAAGTTCTGATCAAAGTGGCACACTCTGGCTGGGCGGTTTACCGGGGAAAGCCTCAGCTATGCTATGGGCAAGTTTAGGTTACCACAAAGGTAGCACTAATGGCGCGATGGCGGGCGCTTCATAGTTCACACGAACCAAGGGAGCCCCTGAAATTGTGTTGAAGAGCAGATCGGTCGAGTTCCATTGTCGAAACTGACAGGCACATGGCGGCACCATGTCTCCTCTCAGCTCGAGGCGGATGTGAGTCTCCCATGTCTTGCACTTGCAGACACAGGTCCACCCGGGCTACAATTGTGCGCTGTTGTCCAGGAGTGTTTGGAGGAATGGTAAACTTGGCCGGCACATTGAGATACCGTCCGTCCGGCCTTCCATCTTTGACGTTGATGAGTCCAGGATGAAGGGTGGGACCAATGCCGCTTGCGTTTTCTGTTTATGTAGAAACGCCGAGAAGATAACTCTATTTTTATGGTAGTAGATCAGACGAGCCAGCCTAAGAGGAGGAAATCATACAATCAAAGAAAACATACTGATGCTCCCAGCCCAAAAATCATTCTCTTAATGGCCACCAGCACTCGACTCGCCCTTGATGGAAAGTGAGCTGCAAGATGAGCGCGAGAAGGCACGAACATCCGTGGTTCCGTAGTGCGTGGGTAGGGTGAATGTACATAAAAGATGAGAAGCAGGGGACGTCCTGCGTGATTGGTGCCGCCAACAGGGGTGTAGCAAGAAGAAGCTTTTACCAGGCCGAGTGGGGTCTAGTCACTCCTGACCAGTGGCCCTACGCAGTCGTATGTCTCTCGAACAGGTGAAGGCCCGACAAAGATAAAAGCTGGGCATTGCTGCGCCAAGGTCAACGACGGTAGCTGTCAGCACTGTCTCGCTCCTTTTCCGACGATCAACGTTGTATGGCGCCGAATGTGCTGAGTAACGCCCCTACGCAAGCTGTGAGGCGCAATCCATCGTCGGCGGAACTCCACCATCAACAACACCAGAAAAGACTCTGTTGATGGCTGCCTGTTGCGGGTATATACGCTGCCGTATGCTATGGCCTAAGAGAGGATTCGGGGGTTCCCGATCCCTCATCATTAACCCCCACTTACTCCTGAAAGACAACACAAGCCAAGGTGAAGCTTTCGTCTCGATACCCGGTCAAGAAAGGCCTTCAGAGCTTGGTGTGTCTGAGCAGCCACTGTCCCACCGCCCAGGTTTCAAGTTCCAGCAATGCCATCACGGGCCAAGCCCAACGGGCCCCAGCTTCGAAGCTTGCTCGATTCAAGCACCTATTGGTCTGAAACAAAAACATTCTTCGCCTCGGGAGGAGGCTTAGAGCTGAGATGTCAAGATGCCAAGCTGGCGTTCCTGCGACATTTGAAATTATACCGAGTAACGTCCCTTTAGGTACCTTGTTTTCTTCTCCAATCTTTCTGTGAGACGCATTGGCCAAACCATCGCATGTTATGTCATCACTCCAGAGCCCCCTGCGGAGATCAAGATAAGATAAGCAACATCAAAGGAGCGATGTCAAACCCCCGGCAAGCCGATGCCGAGCCAATAGGTACATTCATCATACAAGCAAAGCTACGTACGACGATGTAGTTAAGCACGGATAGTAAGTGCTTAATTACTGATATGAATATGTGCGGAAGCAGAAGCAGCTTGATATACCATCTCTGAAGTAATTGAATGGTAAATGCTAGTAATACGAGATTACATTCAGCTTTGTGGTCTATTGTTACTGGTATTGGGCAACTGTCAAGCGTCCCAGACCATCCGTACCTCGGAACTTTCTTGTGGTGCTCCACTCATGACAACGTCGCTGGTTGTTCCACAGCGACCCCGACTCCGACCCCGGACTTGCAAGATAACGTACCGGCTCTGCGTATCTGTATGGAGAGCTTGTATACAACCGGCCCACGAAAGCATCTCGTCCCGGCCAGACCCCCAAAAGATGAATTTGGCCAGGAGACCGAGTAAGTCTGATTCTGCTCAGGACACAGCTTCATGGTACCAGTCACCTCGCTGTTCAATGCCAAAGCACTAGTAATCACTCAAATAAGAGCATCACACCTTATAAAAGCTCTTGAAGCCAGGCCGAAACACTAACCGATCGGTCACCCACAGTTCCACTCGCCTTGCGCGCGGCATTGAGGCGATCTCATAACCAGCCAACCCCGCAGCTGTCAACGGCCTTCAACGCCCTCACCCGCCACACGCTTCCAGGCTTTACCGCATCCATCCACACATCATCTCCCCGATCGATTCCAGGAGCCATGTCCCCATCTGCTGTCAGTAACACGAGCAATGGCACTGCTGGTGCCCCTAAGCAGAATGCTTGGGTCGGTCATCTCGGGGCCGCTGGCTTCGACCTAAGAAGTAAGTAAGGACGTCAGCTTAACCAAAGATTGGTAGAGTAACCGTGATTACAAGGCGATACTATGACCACTCCGACGGCTTCGATGCTCGCTGCCATTCAGAATTGCAGTTTGCTAGACGATGTTTTCGTGGAGGACCCCACAACGATGGAACTCGAATCTCACGTCGCAGCTCTTGCTGGCAAGGAGGCCGCTCTCTTGGTTCTCTCCGGGACCATGGGGAACCAAGTAGCTCTCCGAGCCCTCCTCACACAACCTCCATACAGCGTGTTGAGTGACCATCGCTCACACATCATCAAGTATGAGGCTGGCGGGTTCGTGCATCCCCCTTGAGCTCTCGTACCGTACGACATCTACTGATTGATATTCGTCAGCGTTGCTTCGCTTTGTGGCGCCATGATCCAACCCGTAGTACCACGCAACGGAGCCTACCTGACACTAGAGGACATTGAGGCCCATGCTGCTCTTGATGACGATGTCCATACCTGTCCTACCAGGGTCATCAGCTTGGAAAACACCCTTGGCGGCGTGGTGACCCCCCTGGCCGAGGTCAAGAGGATCGCAGAGTTTGCACGGAAGAACAGCCTCAAGCTTCATTGTGATGGTGCCAGAATGTGGGAGGCTGTTGCCTCTGGAGCCGGTAGTCTCTCCGAATACTGCTCACTCTTCGACACCGTCAGCTTGTGCTTCTCAAAGGGTCTCGGTGCTCCAATTGGAAGCATCGTTGTGGGCGACGCAGCGCACATCAAGCACGCCCGCTGGGTGCGCAAGTCTATCGGCGGTGGTCTCCGGCAGTCTGGAGTGGTAGCAGCTCCTGCTAGGGTTGCCGTTGACGAGACGTTCGGAAAGGGGCCGAATGGTGAAGGTGGTCTTTTGAAGTCGTCTCACGAGACCGCAAAGAGAATCGGGGAACTCTGGACTAGTCTCGGTGGCAAGCTTACCCTTCCGGTCGACACCAACATGTGCTGGCTTGATTTAGATGCCGCTGGGTGCAGCACCCAGGATTTCGTCGCGTTTGGGGCGGAAGTGGGACTGAAACTCATTGGCAACAGGTTGGTTATCCATTATCAAATTGCCCAGAACCAAGACAAGGTTCTGCCCAAGCTAGAACAAGTCTTTCGGCGAGCTCTGGAGGGTGGTAGTCAGACAACAGGAGGGGAGAAGGGCCCGACGAACATGTACCAGCCGCGTTAAGATTGAACGTGGTTTTTTGGGTTTTCTTGGGCTTGATATTCCTCATACGACGCCAACTTCAATCAATGATGTCACGTCTCTATGCTCATATCATCTGAGGCTGTCACAGCTTCAGCCATCGTGTCACTTGACTATAGCCCGAATTGCGTGAAGAAAGTAAGCCTCACTGGCTGACCTTTAAGGGTTCTACATAGGGTAGCTGATGTAAGACGAGCGACCACTGCTTCATCCCTGTCGTCTCAACGAATCAACTGTTGTGAAAGACAAAACATTATGTATGGCGAGCAAAACCAGACATCAAGCTTGAGGTCTGCAACCAAACTTTGGTGTGCAAAATGTCGAAAACGAAATCTGTCATTCAGGATGGCCCATGATCAAGCCACTCGGTGTTTGTCACTACCATGGATGAAGATTTACTACGCGCCGTCGGCCTTGACATGAGAACTCCGTTGCCGATTGCAGGTTCTGAAAGAGGTTATACAATTCAAGCGTGGCAGATGAAGATGGCTCTTGCGCGAAGTGAAATTCAACCGTAATCAAGGTTGCTGCGGCGCGTTGTACGAACGTGGATCAGCTTTGCAGGCGTTTGTACATGCAATGCCGGCTTGAAGTGCCGATAAGTAAAATGAATGAGAGGTCAAATGTAACAAATCACCGAGAGAGTACCTACATACTGATAGGGAATTGGAATGCGACAGCCCCAATTGTCGTTGGCCAATATTTAATATTAATGTGGTCAGCCTTCATTTTTCAAGATGCCTTCAACCCTCTAAAGCGAGTAGTTGTCGTAAATCAACTTGTGGGGGTTCCAAGACCGATAGGGATGAGATTTCCTACGATTACATATTATCAGATGTAACAAAGTATTGGGTTTCTCCCACACCACATGACAATCTCGGTCTCGCTCCTCTCCAGGCACAAAAGCTACACAAGGAGGTAGACCCTTGGGCAAAAATGTTGAAAGTACGGAGTACATCGCTGGCAGCCATTTCGTTGCTCATGGGGAAAGCCTCACTTGCACATCGTCTGCGCCTCCGTGTCTGGACGATTGGCAGACAGCAGAAGAAGAATGCAAACGCGGAACATTGAAGACCTCGAGGGTTACTTCACCGCCGCTGACATAGTGTGGACAAACATACAGGTGGTATCTGTACTACATACCTTAGCTACTCGAATGCATCAAGACAACGTTCGGAGCAATTTCCGGAGGAGTGTGGGGAAAGCTGTATCCGGGGCCGCCGAGCTTCTCCGCAGAGCCCGGCTCATTTGTCCAATAACAATTACCGCATGGTCTGACGAGCACCGAACAAAGCCTTTAATACCCCGCCAAACAGGCATTCTTACCGCAATTCCCAAGACAAGACTAATACCAAGTTCGCAAGATCCCACGGTCATCCTTGCTGACGTCACAATACCTGTCGGTCCAAGTGGGATGACATACGATGCTCGTCACCCACACTTTCCGCCTACCCTTGCACTAATACGCCTAGCCTGCTGGCCCATCATGCTCATGGACGCTTCTGGAGCTAGAAGCTTCCCCCAGAGCTGGGAAAATGCTGAGAAGCTGAGAGGAAACAAAACAGGCGGCCAATCGGTGCTATGACGCTCGTACAGCGGCTCTACCACGGCTCCCCAAAGGACTGGATCATGCGGGGAAAGCTGCACGTCGTCTGCAAGCAGGACCGGCGAAGCCAGCCAGCCAGCCAGCTTCATTTCTCGGTGTCTGTCTCTCTGCCTTGCTCGATGTGACAGCGCCCTTGTCTCGATTGGTAAAAGTTGCGTGTTGTGGCGTCCAACGTGTCGTCTGCCATGCCGCGAACCCAAGATGCCTGCGATGGCGCAGAATTGACTCGAACCCAGCATATTCCAAGCCCAACGGCGCCGAACAACGGTAACCTTCTGCTCGGCCGCCCACGTAAACCCGCAGGAAACGAAGGAGTTTTTGAAATTGTTTTGGTCATTATGTCTAACATCCTGGGAAAGCCTATGTACATTTGGGTTCACGGCCCCCTGGTACCGGCCCGGGTCTGCCCTGGCCTTGCTGCGGTACTTGCCCATCTCAGGCGACCGACGATCCCTCCTGGCGACGAACCCGTCCAAGCTTCCCCTCCCGACCTAAGGCAAGTGAAGCTGCAGCCGATCCTGGTGGGTAGCCTGGCAGCATCCCATATGCATAATGTGCTTCCCTCTGTGCCCATTTATACCTGGTCGTGAGCCACTTCATCCGAAGTGAACATCTCGTCTGCGTCTCTGGATCTACCCGTTCAATAATACTACCATTGTGTATATACTAGCTCCTCCGAGAGCTCAATTGAACACCATGGTCAACTTTGCACTGGCCCTCGCAGCTGTAGCTGTCTTGCCTCGGACAGCTCAGGCTTTGTATGAGAATGGGTCTGTTGTCGCTCCTTGCGACTCACCCATCTACTGCCATGGCGACATCTTGAAAGAAGTTGAACTGGCAAGACCGTTCTCAGACTCAAAGACATTCGTAGACATGTGAGTGCTCATGGACACCACCACGTGACCGAAATTCGACCTAGGCTCTCTACTGACATTCATCGCTACTCGAAAGGCCTGCAATTAAGTCCCTGGAAGAGATCCAAGCAGCATTCAACAATCTGTCGAAACCCTTGAGTAATAACACTGCACTCAATGACTTCCTACGCGCCAATTTCGCCGCAGCAGGTGGTGAGCTCAAGGAAGTACCCAAAGACCAATTGAAGACGGACCCAAAGTTTCTCGACAAGATCAACGATACGGTGATCAAGGAATTTTCTCAGAAGGTCATTGCCATCTGGCCGGACTTGACCCGCACCTATGCTGGCTCTGCAAGCAACTGCACAACATGTCCGAATAGCTTCATCCCAGTCAACCACACCTTTGTAGTTGCCGGAGGCCGATTCCGCGAGCCTTACTATTGGGACTCTTTCTGTAAGAATACACTACTGAAGTTCACGTTCATATGGCGAGTTGTCAACTGACTCTCAATGTCATGCAGGGATTCTCGAGGGTCTCTTACGCACGGGTGGCGCTTTCACTGAGATCTCCAAGAATGTTATCGAAAACTTCTTGGATCTCGTGGAAAAACTCGGATTTGTGCCTAATGGCGCTCGAATCTACTATCTGAACCGTTCGCAGCCGCCATTGCTAGCACAGATGGTACGACTCTATGTCGAGTACACGAGCGACCGGAGCATACTAGAACGCGCAATCCCTCTCCTCATCAAGGAGCATGAATTCTGGACGACAAACAGAACTGTTGAAGTCAACAAAAACGGGACTACATACACTCTGAATCAGTCAGTAGAATATTCAGACCATCAAACTTAGTAGCTTGTAGCTAACATCAAGGATCAGATACAACGTCACCAACACACAACCCAGACCCGAATCATACAGAGAAGACTACGTCACTGCCTCGAACGCTTCCTACTACTCGACCAACGGAATCATTTACCCTGAGGTCGAGAAACTGAACGACACCGAAAAGGCCCGTGTGTATGCCAATCTTGCGTCCGGTGCCGAGAGTGGCTGGGATTACAGTTCACGATGGCTTTCTCGACCTGCAGATGCGGCGAGGGACGTCTACTTCCCTCTCCGATCCCTCAATGTTCTGGAGACTGTCCCTGTGGAGCTGAACTCCATCTTGTACTGGAATGAGATGACCATTGCTGCGCTACTCAACTCCACAAACAACAGCACGGGAGCAGTGGCTTGGACTGAACTTGCAACCAAACGAAGTCAAGCTATGTACGATTTGATGTGGAACTCGACCCTTTCAAGCTACTTTGACTACAACGTGACATCAGGAGGGCAGAATATCTACATTCCCAAAGACGATGATGCCAACACTCTTGAAACGAACACCGCCGAAGCAGAACAACAAGTTCTCTTCTCGGTTTCCCAGTTCTACCCGTTCTGGACAGGAGCGGCACCTTCTCACCTCAAGAACAACCCTTACGCGGTAAAGCAAGCCTACCAGCGTGTTGAGAAGTATCTAGACATCAAGAAGGGCGGCATCCCCGCTACAAACCTCAAGACAGGTCAACAGTGGGATCAGCCCAACGTCTGGCCACCCTTGATGCACGTTCTTATGGAAGGTCTCCGCAGGACACCTGCCACCTTTGGAGAGTCGGATCCCGCCTGGCGTGATGTCCAGAGTCTCGCCCTCCGCCTCGGACAACGATACCTGGACTCTACCTTTTGCACGTGGTACGCTACGGGGGGTTCAACCAGCGAGACTCCTCAGCTCCAGGGCTTGACCTCCCAGAGCGTCGGAACCATGTTTGAGAAGTACGGCGATAACTCAACCAACGTTGCGGGTGGCGGTGGAGAATATGAAGTGGTTGAAGGATTCGGCTGGACGAACGGTGTCCTCCTTTGGGCCGTTGATGTGTTTGGAAATGACTTGAAGCGGCCCGACTGCGGGAACATCACCGCAGCCAACGTCCATCCCGCTAAGAGAAGTTTGCCTCAACGCGCGGTAGAATTAGATTCCTACGATGCTTCTTGGACCAAGAAGTTTGGTAGACGCGCGGAAGAGGCCGCAAAGAGGGTGTAGAGTCAGAAATGGGCTGACTTGCGATGACGCATTCTATTAATGTATCGCATAGTATCACAGTATTGAGGCTGTACAAATAGGGATGTTGGTATGCTTTAGGAGCGCCATCAGGCCAAATAATATCTTAACGACGTTTACGTAGACTCACTAATTGAGATGTTGATCGCAGTGCTCTCTACCTGGCGTTGACACAACCAAATGTTTGCCAACGACGTAGTAGGTGAGCTAGCCCATAGTGTAGACTTCTTCGACTTGAGTCAAGATCCACCTGGAATTGCTCTCATCGATGAAGCCGAACGGTAAGGGGAAAAGTCCGGCACCAAGCTGCCTCCAGTCTCAGTCGGTCGTCTTCGGTGTTTGCTGACCTACTGCGCAGGTGCCCAACAAGAACATCCCGAATTTAAGACTTTACCGAAGTATACAAAGCGCCCAACCATGACCCAATATCTCATTGAACCAGACGATATACCAATAACCACCTGGTCCGCTTCATATCGTGGGAATGTGAGATGAAGCTGCTCTCACGGAAACTGGCTTGCTTGCTATGATAGGCCAGTTTTGCCGGATGGTGACAGCTGAGGATGTAGACAGGGTCGACGGGTAAGTAATCCGGGGGTGGTCTGTGCGCCTTCCAGGTTGATGACGGCTCGAACGAACCGGGAGCTGCCTGAGGTGCTTGCCAGCTGTCGCCGCGGGCACACTCCAAAGCCGAGAGCACCGGCCAACACCATTTTTTGAGCTCCGCCAGACGAACCGTGACGTTGAATACTGGTCTGACAAAGCTCCACCGTTTGCTTTCCTATTCCGAAGCTGTAGCAACCCACAGTCAATCGACCGCAAAACAGCACCGATCGAAGCTCCCTTGCCTCGAGCTGAATACCCATCGAACCGACGCGCCCACACCCGAACTCAATCATGTCTGGAGGAAGAAATCCCATGGAGGAGGCCTACGAGCGCTTCAGGGCCGTCGCTCAGCAGCAGCAGAAGCGCGGCGGCTTTGGCGGCGGCGGCATGCCCGGTGGTCCTCGCGGCGCTGGCATGGGACTTGCCGGTCTGGTTCTGTTGGGAGGTGCTGCCTTCGTGGCCCAGAATGCGCTATTCAACGTCGACGGTGGTCACAGAGCGATCAAGTACCGGAGGACAACGGGTGTGAGCAAGGAGATCTACAGCGAAGGTAGGCAGCGCCCCTCCACACCACTTGAGGAGGCACCTTTCCCCTTGATGTTGGTAATGAAAACGTACTAACAGTTTGACTCCTCTCAGGAACCCACTTGATCATTCCCTGGTTCGAGACTCCCGTCACCTACGATGTTCGCGCGAAGCCCAGAAACGTCGCCTCTCTCACCGGAACCAAGGACTTACAGATGGTCAACATCACCTGCCGTGTTCTTTCCAGGCCTGATGTCAAGGCCCTGCCTCAGATCTACCGCACTCTCGGCACAGACTACGACGAGAGAGTGCTTCCCTCCATTGTCAATGAGGTTCTGAAGAGTGTTGTTGCTCAGTTCAACGCTTCCCAACTGATTACCCAGAGAGAGATGGTTGCCAAGTTAGTTCGCGAGAACCTCTCCCGCCGTGCCGCACGGTTCAACATCCTGCTGGACGATGTGTCCCTGACGGTATGTAAACGACACTCTAAAGAACCCCCATGATGCCCTGCTAACAGTACGCCATAGCACCTTGCCTTTTCCCCAGAATTCACAGCTGCCGTTGAAGCGAAGCAGGTTGCCCAGCAAGAAGCTCAGCGCGCGGCATTCGTTGTTGACAAGGCTCGCCAGGAGAAGCAGGCCATGGTCGTCAAGGCCCAGGGTGAGGCTCGCTCTGCTGAGCTGATTGGAGATGCCATCAAGAAGAGCAAGGCCTACGTCGAGCTGAAGAAGATTGAGAACGCGCGCGCTATTGCTCAACAGATGCAGGAGTCCGGCAGCAAGAACCGTTTGTTGCTTGACTCTGAGGGCCTGGGCCTGAACGTGTTTGATGATAGCGAGAAGAAATGAGGCGTCGGCATTTGGGCGCGAATTCTCCACACTGTACTCTTACAACATCGAAAACTGGCATGGACTTGTATAATAATGAAAAAAAAACGCCTCTGAAAGCTTCGAGAACACTTCATCTGCAAATGTCGGAGGCTCGAAAGGGTTGGTGAAAAATCCATCCATGTACAACAAACAGAAACGCTTCAGTAATTCTGGTACAGCACAATAGGAAATTCCACACCGTAACTGTCCCTCGTTATGTTGCTCATCTATAAGGTACTTTATAGTAGCAAGCTTGCTACGTTTGGGATTGTCTTTCGTACGTTGAAGTACTTTCTTCGACAGCCGTCGATCCATTTGCAGCACAGGCCGTCGGAACTGGTGGATGCCTGCACAGCGTTAAGACGTGCCTGTGGTGGGCCGGGGCATCTCAGAGGTCCCCCTCCCCTGCTCAGCTTACAGAAGGGCCCCTCCCCCACTACGACTTCCTGCCTGCGGATAGCTCGAGACTAATCGTACAACCGTCACATCCTCAACCAACAAACCGCACGACCCCGCCAAGTCGAATTCGAATACCACACAACCTCGCCTTCTCTACCTCCCCTCGAAACCAGAAACAAGCCCCATAGATTGTTGTCGCTATTTCACACACGCCACAATGTTAATCAAGTACGCGAATCTCTGTCCTCCGGACCTCTGGAGGCGGTGACCCGACTGTACCCATTCGAATAACTGCTTACGCCAACTAGGGTGCGAACGCTTACCGGCAAGGAGATTGAGCTGGACATCGAGAACGAATACAAGGCGCGTACCCATCCGACACATTGTCCACCTAATACAACGGACGGAAACAGAGAGGGGCAGAATAGAACGCTGACCAACCTTGCAACAGGTCTCTCAGATCAAGGAGAAGGTTGAGGAGAAGGAAGGCATCCCGCCCGTACAGCAAAGACTCATCTACGGTGGAAAGCAAATGTATAGTGTAATCCTCTTGGAGCGTGGAATCATGCTTTCGCTAGTGTGATAGGACTGGGGGACCTTGGGAGAATTTCCTACGGAGACCATTCCGCTAACAAGATGCTCAAACAGGGTCGACGACAAGTCCGCATCTGAATATGGCCTCGAGGCTGGCGCTACGTTGCATTTGGTTCTCGCCCTTCGTGGTGGAAACTAGATCTGTCTCTGACAACGGCTTTGAGCAAGAGAAGACAGGCCAGGAAACAATACGCAGCTCAGGTGTTTTCAGCGTTCTTGAGACGGAGCATGCATCGGCTACAGAGCCTATAGGGGATGATATGCAGTAGCGACGTCCATTCGCGACATGGAAATATAGAATATCGCCTGTCCAAAGGATGGGTGGTCTCGAGGCAGGCTGGAATGCGAGGCTTAACTGTCAAAAGCTAAAGTCTGCATTGGGATTTGGCACCGGGGGAGCAATAAACTAGCGTGTAAGAGCTGCCTGCGAGAATCCGCACATGGAGAATAAAGCTAGTCACATGAACACAGCATGGGGTCAAACAAATGGTGCTGAGTTGAAAGCTAATGCACCGTCAAGCATCTTCAAATGAGTTAAATTCCACTCTGCCATGATGGGCAGGACGACCATGCGAAGCCTGAGGGTATATACCATGACCAACCCGACGCCTGAATTCCAATGCTATGTGACCTGTCCCTATACCAACGCCCGACGACCTTGTATGTTACAATACTCATGATTCCTCATTCTAGCCATACGTGATTATACTTTCCTTCAGCGTCTGGTCTTCTTTTTCGGCATGAAAATGTCGACAGCTTTTCTTTTTCTGGGCAGCTCCTGATTGCCCAGAATTGGTCGAGCTTGTTGTGCTTCGTCCAACGACGCTGGCAAAGGAGGAGATTGCGGGCCGCTGTTCTGAGCAAGTACTTTGTGCGGGCGGGAATAATCCATACTCGCAGAGGATGGTAGCTCGGGTCTGGTTGGTGGACGCTCAACTCTGATATTGCTCTTGGGCCGAGCAGCATTTCCGAGAATACCGCCCCCACGTCGCAAACCCGATGTTTGCGAACTAGAGGCAGATCTGGCGGATGTTGAAGAGTTGCGATCCTTGAATGCTGAGGATTGAGAAGGATTTGTAGGCCTAGAGGAAGCTGCCGTATCCCGACTGTGGCGAGAGGAAGATGCTATGCTCTTGTTCTTCTTCGGCGTTCCCTCATCACTGAATAAATCACCGTCCTCGCCGTCCGATGAATCGGAAACATATGTGGCTTTGGACTGGGGAGTGACATATGTGGAATGTGTGGGTGGGCGGCTGCTGGTAGACGTAGGCCGAAAGACTGGTTGACTTGAGATTCGGTGCTCGGCAGCCATCGAGGGCGGGGCCTGTTTCAATCGAGGGGCCCTGATCATGCCAGTTGGCACAGCCATAGTGCTTCTTATGCCGACAATCTCTTTGGCCTCTCTACGGGCTTTCTTCATGACGCTAGCGCCCGTCGTCATCTTCATTCTGCTTCCGGCGGCCCAGCTCAGGGAACTCGGGAGCTCCCTCTTTCCTCGAGGCTGTGTTGAAAAGGTGCGACCAGTCTTGGGCGGCTTGGGCAAGAATCTGGCGAACTTGGGGTCAACGATTCTGCTGACGTTGTTGTCCTTCTTCTGCTGGAGCCCCTGGACCCTGGCGAGAAGCTCGGCCTCAGCCTGTTGCTGAGCCTCGCGGCGTTCCTCCGCATATCGCTCGTATATCTTGTACCACTTCGACGGATTCTTAGGCGCATAATTCTTTTCGTGGCTTTCGGATGGGAATTCCTTCTTGATAAGGCGCAGCCAGAGCTCGGAGGTTTCGCCCTGTATAAAAGGGGAATTGAGCTCAATCTCTCGGAGCTGAGCTGGATTCGTGACTCTGAGGAGGATTTCGCGGACATGGTGGTATTGGAGGGCGTCGCCATTGCCGACACTGCTGAGTTCTGTGATGTGTCTCTGGCACATAGCAATGCACAGCTCGGCAAGTGATTTAGTCGGCGCCATGGTGAGTGATATAAGTGGAATTCTTGAAGAGGGCCTAGCTGATGGTCGTTGCCGCCGTGATGAGAGCGCTTGGTCGTATGGTCGTTGATGGGGAACGGGCGAATCGCAGGTTCATCGTTCAAATAACGGATGTAGTGGGTATTCAGGTAATTCGAATGGTACCTAGGTTATTGAAGCAGAGTGTTTCTGTCTAGGTAGAGGAGACCCCTCGAGGCCATGTGGCAACAGGCCGGGCCGATAAGCAGTACTATACTCAAAAATTAGATCTTTGTTGTTGCTGGTATATGTAAGTGATGGCGGGAAGTTGCAGGTGGATGGGTCCTTTTAAAGAGGTCACGAACACTGAAGTGCCAGATCCGTAGTGGGGCATGCGGCTTTTAAGTGGCTCCCAAAGCTGACCTGAACAGGCCCTTGTCAAAGAGCTAAGGCAGACAGTGACTGTCACTGGGGTACCTCTGAGGATGAATGATGACTGGGCTCATTGTGCAAATATGTTAGGTTTGCTTCTGGAATCAATGATTGAGACCTCCGGGCTCGGACATTCAACTTGCTCATATTACGAACCCAGGCAGACCTCAAAGTATTCTAGTGTAAGTATCTGAATTCGAAGGATGCGAACGCAAATAGTCGAGTAGCATAGTCGGTACTTGAACCTCCAAAAGTTGAAGATTGGCGCCAATTCACCCATGTCACATGATTCGTGAGCTAGTCTACTTCGGGCACTAAGGTACCTCCAGGCTGCTGCATTGAGTGGATCTTGACTGCCACTCCGAGCTTCTCTCTTGCTTGCTGTGACAGAGCTAAGATAGATGTGGACTATCCTGTTTCCTCTGCCGTCATTGCAAAAAACACCAACTCTTCCTCGACTTCGCGACCTTGGATAGCAACGGAGCATTTGAGGTAACCCGGAATATTCAATATGGCGGACTCAACATACATCAAACCGGAGCCATATATCAAGCCCGATCCCGAAGCCATACCTGCCGCTCCTGTCGACGACGATGACCTATACGAAGATGCTGGCGATCTGGAGTTCTTCGACCAATTCGGCGATCAAGGCTCCTTCGGCCAGGCATATTTAGCACGCGTTCCGAAGGACCTGTGGGAAGCATGGGATAGCTTGCCGGATGACGCAGAAATCGAGATCGGCACCATGCGACAGTGGGATGTGGTCCGTCCAGATGGCAGCGTTGAGGTACTGTGATATACGCGACGCGACAAGTCTAGATCGACGGTTGAGCTAACTTGCTTGCGCAGCACCGTTTCAAAATGCTACTCAATTCCGACCGCGCCGAGCACCAGCTGATGCCGAAAGAATACGACTTGGAGATGGGCAAGGAGATCGCGCGGAGCACGTTTGTTTTCACCGAGGAGGACCTACCTGGCTTCAAGGCCAAATCCAAGGCGCGAACAGACGCTGCAAATGCTGGCATCCCGGCTCGATTCCTGAGACCCAAGACGGAGAAGGTGGAGAAGAAACCATTCGAGAAGGGCCGCAAATGGCAACCGTACTACCGCAAGGCGATTCCAAGTCAGTTTGATGCTCTCAAAATGGCGCAGGTCAGCGGCTAATTCAACGCAGAGAAGACAAAGATTGCCGCTAGAATCCAGTACGAGCTGGCGTGCAAGCCAGTCGATAACGCGGAGAGCCAGGCAATTCTTCAACGGAAGCAAGTCGAGGCTCAGCGGCCCAAGCATACCTTGCAGATCATGGAACAGCGCGCAGCCAACAGCATTATTCATCATGGCTCTGCAGCTGCGGTTGAGAAGTTTGGCTCCTTCATTGTGAGTAGCACTCGGTGGAAATTGGTAGATCCAGTACTAATAAAGAATAGAAAACGTCTGCGCCTACCAAGGCCACCAAGCCGAAGAAATCTGAAAACAGATCCGCCCGCATGTCGGAGGAACAACTGTTGGATGGTCTCATGGAGGCTTTCAGGAAGTACGAGTACTGGAAGATGTCGATCCTCAAAGCTAGATTTGACCAGCCCGAGGCTTTCTTACGCCAGACATTGGAAAAGATAGCAGTACTTAACAGATCCGGCATTCACGCCAACGAGTGGTCGCTTCAGGAGCACTTGAAGAGCATGGCGTCCGGCGCCACTAATGAGACGGCACCGGAGGAAGCCGCCGCAGAGGACGACGATGACGAAGTGGTTATGGAGGATGTTGTCTAGTGAACATTCGCAATTGAAACAGATCAGGGCACAGGAACCGCAGGGCATCGCAAGGCGTTTGGAAGGGCATTGTTTTTTCCGCATGGAAAGTCTTGGATGGAGGTGGCTCTTACAGTTAGGGACTTTTTGATACCCCCCGGGACACTAGGTGATGACACACGTGTCGAAGGGTTTGCAGCTATCCCTCCCATCACAGAACGATAGAGCAACACAGAGAAAGCGATTCACACACTCTGCCTGGGATACAGTAGATGAAGTCCTAATCCGGTGGTGGTAGCAACACAGTGTCCACTGTCTCAACTGTTGACATGAGCATGGCTGCCTTTCTTTCCTAGTCCAACACCACATGTGATCAAAGTGGGCAAGTGGGGAAGTGCACAGTCGTCACCACTCGACTTCATCGGCTTGGATCCAATTAAGCCAATCTTCCCGGACACAACGTCAAGACCGCGCAGTATCACGTGTTGCGGAAATGCCTCCTTTAACTCCCAACCTCGTGTTGGACTTTGATGGTACCATTACGACAAAGGATACGATCGGTACATTGGCAGAAATCGGCCTCCAATTCCAGCAGCAGCGTGGGGTTGATCTGTCTTCAAATTGGCAGCAGATCCTGCTGGATTACAGCAAAGACCATGCCAGCCATGTGTCCACGTATCTTCCAATCGCAGATGACAGATCCTCGCTTGAAGACGAGCTCGCCTTCTTGCGGGGTCTGAAGGAGGTTGAGATGCGATCAGTCCAGAGAGTTGAGAGCTCAGGCATCTTCCAGGGCATCAGCCTGGAACATCTCACACTTGCCGGTGAAACTTGTCGAAAGGAAGGGAGAATCAAGTTAAGAGATGGTTTTGCGGAGCTCATGAGTGCTGCCAGAGAGAAGGGCTGGTCCGTCGCAGTAGTCTCCGTCAACTGGTCTAGATCATTCATCAAGGGTGTCCTCTCAGACTATAGCGTCGACGTTGTCGCTAATGAGATCGAGTTGAACGGAAGCATCTCCGGGCCGGAAGTAGAGGGCTCAACAACGAGGCAGGCATCTTTGATGACATGCGAGGATAAGCTGCGAGCCCTTCGAACATTGGCGGCTCGGCGAGGAGTAGAGGATGTTGGGACGCTGGTGTATTTTGGCGACTCCACTACAGATATTGAGTGTATTTTGGCAACCCGAGGAGTTGTGATATCTTCCAACGCCGAGTCAAGTTTGATGAAGACTCTGAGGAGAATAGGGTACCAAGTGCCAAAGGTGGAGGATGTTCGGGCGCCAGGAGGCACAGCATGGGCATCAACTTTTTCAGAGATTCTCGAAAGTGAATACCTATCTTTCAAGAAGTCCACATAATAAAGCTCTGGTCTTCTGAACAATGCTGGTTGATCCTTTAGTCGTGGCGATGTTATGTTAGGCAGTGCCGTTGTCTCGCATCCTTTGTTCAAACATGCCGACTGATAACCACACAGGATCTCGATCCTCTTTGTTAGCTTTGGTAGAAACCATCGATTAGAGGCCCGCGAAACATCTACATGTCTAGAAACAACTGCAGTACTTTGCGTTTCGATACATGTTCGACCTAGGCAGGTCATCTATGCTACACAGTCCGACGTCGAGCATATAAGTATCTCGAGGTTCGGGTCGAAGTTGCCATGTCAGATCTCTACTTCAACCACAAAACAACAGTAAGTCTAATCCCGCTCGACTTTTCCATTTCCACTACTCTTCTATCTAGCAACCATGTGTTTCTACCGTGCCACCGTATACGAGTGCAAGCACAGTGAACTCGGCAAAAAGGTCACAATCTGCAAATTGCAGAGGGACCTCCTCAAGTACACGGAAAGTAATACTGGTCACACATGCATCGAGCGCCGTGTACACTCGATGAACTGCGTCCGGAAGGCTGGAGTGTGTGACAAGTGCAAGCGTCTGGACACCCTCAAAGACCGCACGGCAAATGCGTTCAAGAGCCTACAGAACACGCTACGAAAGAGCAAGGTTGTCGATGACGATTCTGGGGATGATGACCTTAGAGCTCTCGAGACCTTTGAGGCTGTCGAGGTTCCCAAGGTCGAGCTTGCTTCGAATGATGATAGTTCTGCAGCCCACGAGATCTTTGAACTTATCCCGACTCCTAGGCTTGACATGATCTCTGACGAGCTTGATGATGAAGAGAGTGCTACTTCATCGAAGGGAGAGACATCTGCGGCTTCCGAGGCCTCAGAAACCTCTGAAACCCAAGGTACCTCTGAGTCTTCCCACAAAACGGTGGAGGCTATGGACACAACCAAGAATATTGTCAAAGATGAGGCTACGGGAGAGCCGCAAGGCTCCTCTATTTGATTTACCTGGCGATGGACGTTGGAGTTTTCCGTGAACCCATTCAGAATACGTCACTGTCGTACACTGGCAAGTCAGGTTCCATCGTGCTATGTTGTATTGTTTCCCATACATAATTTAGGATTGATTTGGCTGCTAATAAAACAGTGAAGTTCTGCGTCATTATGCCATCACTCAGCGAGGATGGTCTACTCTTTGGTGCTCTCTGATGTAAGTGGCATCTGTTTATATCGCAAAGCATGACGAGGAATTCTCGAAGGTGATCTCGGGTGCCTGAGTTGAGCCCCATTGCGTGTGATGTAAGTTGCATTTTTGTCATTTTGATAAAGAACCCTGGGCCGAGGCTCAGCAGGAAGCCTCCATAACAGGCAGAGGGCTACCGTTGATGATGGATGTATGGCTTAACTCCCGGCTTTAGTGTTTTTTCTCTATAGATGCCACGCTCGGCTTCCAAATGGAAGCTGATGATCTTCTTCCGCGATAATCGGAATGAATACGGCGAGCAAAGACTTGGAGGTCCATGTACGGAGAGAATTAAGTAAGGCGAAGGCTTGAGGCTTCACTACATCAATATCCATCACCACGAAAGATAGCAAAACATCAACAACATGGCGATCGTTTTTACGAATTGGAGATTCATACTACGACGGGAGGCCGAGATACGTATGCTTCGATACCAAGACATAGTAAATCGCATGTGTTCTGCCTTCATGTGCATCATCTCATCTGTAAAGACTAGCGAGTTAAGCTGCTCAGAGCGGGAGGCATACCGCAAACGAGACTTCACCGCTTCTGAGTTGGAATTTCGAGAGGTAAGGGTGGCGCGGGCCACAACGGTAGCGAGAGGTAAGATCATACCCAGGTCCCGTACACCGGCATTCGACTCCGGGATGCGGGCCCGATCCGGTCGAGTTACATCGGGAGACACGAGGCCGCCTCACGTCTGGAATGCTCGGGAATCGCCACACCGGGGCTCGGATTCCTCGCCTTGTGTTGATACCTATGACTGCGGGTTGGAATCCAAGTAACGTAACGCAAAGCAAGCTTCGCCCCTCACGGGTTTCCACAAATTCATAACCAAAACAAGAGCAATCCTACAATACGAGAAACTTGTCACGACACACTGGCAGTATCGTAGCTATCGACATTGCGAGGGCCTAGAGTCAGCTCTTCCTAGCAGGGTCTGGGTCAGAGCGGCGAAGCTGTCGAGGAATACAAGGCATCCGACGGCAAGAAGACCGGATGAGACAATTCAGACACGGCTGAGCCAGGTGTCAGGTCACCTTTAGACGGGTTACAGTGCCGACAAGCGAGCGGATGTGCCAAAACACGCAAAGCATTGACAAAATGTTTTTAGATGTGCGGACTCGTGTGCGATCAAAACTCCCAACTCTCGGTTTGAACGGAGGGGACTGCTGAGGCGCAGACATGGATGAGACCGGTACGCTTCTCAGGTTCCTGACGAGCATTGTTGTTCACAGGGGTTGTTGTGTAGGCATATATCAGTCGGGCCAAGCGGTACAAATCATCCAATGGCACGAAGGGTTTGAGGCTAGAATAACCCCATGTACCCGCTCTCATACTGTGAATAGCCGTTACAATGCGCGTTGCTTCGAGTCGCCTCAGTCTGTTGAATGCCTATCGGTATAGGGGGCCTAGAAACGAGGTAGGGGAACTTGGCACGGAGTGGTCTTCGTATGACGGACGGACGGGCATTGAAGACAATGAAAACGAGGTGCATAATGCAGGCTTTGTTCAATGAGGTCAGGTGATTTAAGATGCCAGGCGATGCAATGCAGAGAAGCCGGGGGTGGGCTGAGGATATTGGCGTTTGGTGTTTGGCGTTCTAGCCGTGAACATGGTGTATGATGTTGGAGCTGGAAAGACCGTGCGTAGATGAGGATAAGGCTGGCTACCTTAAGGAGGTATAAATTGAATGGCAGTGATGCATTTGGTGTGCCAGAAAAGGCGCCATTATGTATATAGATTTATGGTCCGAGTGCTCCATGTTGACGGTCAAACGACCCAGGAGCTATCCTGGCGCAGTGTAAGCCACTAGAAACGTATCTCGGCGAGAACGAGTTTTGTAGCAACTGGTAAGCGAAGTAGTCGCTGGCAAACGCCGCAGAGTTCGGATGGGATTCTGTGTAACAGAGAAACGCGGCTCTAGCTGTGATGAATTCATTAATATCTGCACGCTAGGAGTGCATACTATAGTGCTGTATGATATTGGTGAGGGTGGGGATTCTGAGCATGAGGCAGCATGACAGAGGCAGCGGTGTCCTTGGAAATACAGGTAGGGTCGCACCCGACGCTAGACCACATCGATACCTCAGGCGATCCAGAGTCGACTCCTCTATCAGGTTGTCATTGAGTATATTGACACCTCGTAGCTCTGAGAGGTGAAACAGAGCAATGCTCTTACAGACAGCATCGGTGAAGTGATTGCTCACCTATATTCCTTGCCTTCTCTGCAGGTACTGGGCTCTGCACAGGAGTTCCCAGCTCAGTCCGGACACTCGCCAAGGCAGAAAGATCCATGCAGGGTGAGAGACTGGGCGTGCTTCGTTCCCATTGAGGTGTCATTGACACTGAGAAGGGGTCGCATATCTACATTTTGGTTTCGAGGCGTCCCGTCGGCTATAGTGACTAACAGATCAGCAGCTTTGCCAAGGATATGTACTGACAGAAAGAGTCGAACTTAGATCGAGCCCAACGAAAGCCTCAAGCTTCGATCAGACAGTGCAAATGATACCGTCGGATCGTGGATCAGGATAGGACCGATAGGTAGAGAGGATCTACGGCTACCTTCCACAGACCACAGTACCCAAGCACCCAACGTCAATACGGACAGGAGAGGCTAATGTGCCTGTGTATCCGTAGGGCGCTGGATCTTCGGCCAAGGTGCACTTTACAGTAAGGTAGGAACCAATGGTGGCCTGTCTTTTAGCTGCTCAGGTGTATATTACGTAAACCTACTCTTCACACTAACGACGTGCATGCATGCACTTTACCTTGAGGGGAGGCACCCCAGATGTTGTACCTGCCTTACCTTATTTAATTTGATTCAGGTACCAACGTACCGCATCTGGCTCGACTTCTAAGCGCTAAGGTACCTAATTGGTAGTAATTTCACAGTCACCGAGAGGCCTTATTTTTTGGCGTTGTTTGTGATTCGAATCTTGGAAGCCCGAAAGCCTCCAAACGCAGAGCTGTGCACAACACTCGGACAGAACGGATACGGAAAAATCATCGGAAGTTGGTCGTCACGGCTCACCCTGGAGATCAGGAGGTACATTGCGGAGCAAGTTGGCGGGAGTGAGGCAAATTGCGCCAACTGGCGACTGCTTGTAAAGTGGAACATGGGGGGGGGGGGATGCAACTTGCAAATGGAAGGCTGCTTGCACCCCGCATCCGCGTGCGCGCAGCACGCGGATATCAATCAGGGTCTGGCGGCATCGCCGCGCCGGCCCTCTATTCGCAGGGGAAAAAAGGACATGGAGAGTGGAGGACTATGAGTTGTGGAGGCTGGGCCGGTTACCGCTGCCTCCACTTGGAGCATTGCAGCAATAAACCGTACAGTCCTGCATCCTCGTGGCAGTATCTGCGTGGTATATGTTTCTTATGGTGTGCCACGAGAGATGTACAGAAACAGAGACTGTGCTGATGACAGACTGACTCTGTACTTCCCTCACTATGCGGTGCTGTAAGATGAATACCTAGATTCATGGCAAGGTATGGTGCATGACAAGCGCACACAAGCATCTGACAATCCCAGTCCCCTGCAGCAGCGCTTTCTGTTGATCGTGACCAAATGGTTCACCGTAGCGGGCGCCGCTCTGAGGGGTCTGAGTCTTGACTCTGCAGTACGAATACCAACCAATGTGCCAGTCAGGTACTAAGCTAGGCAAGCTTGCTAAGGCACGGGTAAAGACGACCTGGGTGCCTCGACGAATTCGGGTGCCCATTATGCTGTTTTCCTGCTGCTGCATAAGGTATCAAGTCCACCTCAATCAATCTCATCTACAGCGCCTCTCACCTTTGATTAAGGATCGCTTGCCAGAAGGACATCCCCCTCCCAACATCCACTCGTCCCCGACACAACAAACAACCTGTGGACGTCAAGTATATTGCTAATACAAGCCAGGGGAAAGGAAACAGAAGGAAGCGGCCCGATACAGACAGACAAAGAGCCATGTGTAATATGCGGCGTGCAGCGTGCAGCAGCGGTTTGCTGATGGCCTAACGTGATGGCGCCCGCCCCCCTCCTTTGCTTCATTACCATACGCAGTAAGGCAACTTATGAATACAGCTTACTCCTGAGCCCTGTGCCCAAGTTCTCGGTGGTTCTGGACGTGCCCCAAGTCCCCTAACCGCTTAGATACTCCCCATACTGGGCTCAGTAGGGTAAAGTGTCTTGGGTGCCAACCGCGCCTTAGTAACCCTCCCCCACCCCCTTTCCTCATGGCTTGGATGTATACATCCCCACTGCAATTGACAGAGAATACCTCCCCAATTTATTTCATGCTCACCACATTTCCATGTACCTTGCGTCTCCTCAGGTACTTGCCCAGGTTCCTAACCAGTGCATTGCTTTACAAACTCCCTCTCTGCCTTCCATCTCCCGCCTCTCCGCCTCCAGCATCCGCGTCCGTCCTCTCTCGTATATCTCCGGGCCTGCTATGGGCACCCCCGGCTACCCTCCCGTCCCTGCCCATCTTCCCTCCTTCAGAATCAGGACCCCTTCGTCAGCCGCCCAGGGCCCTTCTTCTCATTTGCAACCCGGAATGCGTGACTCTGCTTGACACCACCGCCTTTTTATCCTCCATATTGCTGCCCTTCTGCCCATCTTCTCGCCTATTCGTCGTGTCTTGTTTATTTGTCTCGTCTCTCTGCTCCTGCCCTGTCGTTGCTGCAGTTGCACCTCCGCTCCTACCGATCCCATCGACTCTTGCCCTCTGCCTTCCTCGACTTCATTCCTCTCTTTCACTCTCCCTCACCAATCCTCCTCGCTCTTCTGCAAACGACACCGCTCGAGAACAAACGATTCTTTTCTCTCCAAGGCTCAACCCAACGCCAAACGTTCCAATCGATCCAGCTGTCGATGCAGTTCCACACAAGTACGGCCTGCAACTGATTTGTCCGACCGGTCTTCACGCCGAGCTCTAGTTGTCCCCCCTCGAGACAACAACCGCCCTCGGAAACTCGTGCAACCTTCACGACGAGAGAGGAACCGATTTCCTCCGCAGTCTGCAGGCTCAGTTCCCCGCAGCTAATGTCGCCCTCGCCAGCCTGGCACATCGGACTCTCCGACATACAACATGGAGCCCGTTCCCGAGACTGAGAGAATGGAGGAGTTCCGATCCTCACCACTTCCCTCGCTCCGTATACAGAACCCGACATTACTCCCTCCTGTCGTTGCCGAGCCTGAACCTTTGCGAAAGCCTCCGACTCTCCGCCGCCAGACTGATCCCAGTCCTACTTCTCCGACTGCGCCGTCTTGGACCTTTACCCCTCTGCCCTACCGACCACGTACTACCTCGCCCTTGTCCGGTCACCATACGAGATCTAGGTCAGCAGCGAGTTTGGCCCCTCCAATGTCTCGCACCCAGTCTATGCCTGGCGTCAATGGCGCCGGTCACATCCTGTTCTCCCCTCAACTCCGCCCTGCCAGCCCCTCGGGATCGCCCGCCCGCGTGCGAACACCACGGAAGCCCGTCGACGAGGCATTCCCGACTTCACCTATCCGCGCCTCCGCCTTAGATCCCGATCGACAGACTGCAGAGCGATTCAGTTCTGCAAACCTCATTGGAACGACGCCCTCTATGGTCCTGCCCCGACATCGCCGTCCTTCCTCACCACTGCGGAACCCTGGTATTGCCAGCACTCCCTCGTTCGCGATGCCTACCACGCCTACATATACATCGGCGTCGTCTTCGCCATCTCCACGAGGATACGACTCCCTCTCACACGGCTGCGGAGTCTCTCCTTCGTTTCCTTCCTCGTCAGTTCCGTCGACCCCGACATCTACAAGATCGAGAAGTCCGAGCATTTCTAGTCTGGAAACTATACCAGACTCGCCTGACGCGGAGGAGGCAGCTATGGAGGCAGAGAGGATTGCCCAATTGAAGGCTGCCGCAGACGCCGCAGAAAATGGCGATGCTGGCGAGGTGAAGGGCAAGAGCGGTCTAGACGCGCCCTTGCGTGGCAGAACGTTGGGGGGCTTTGGATCGAGAGACAAGCGAAAGCGCTGGAGTGTGTGTGGCGCTGAACGACGACAAGATCTCGACTTGGAGACGATTTGGGAAGACTGAGAATTTGGAGACCTCAGGACAGAACGTACATCGCAAGTACGGACGACAGTGAGGCAGACATGGACTGAGAAATGCCTCAAAGGCTGGAACAAAGCGAATCGTTTTGAGGTCTGCAATGGCGTACATTTCCCGACACTCATTTGTGCCGAGTGTCTGGATTTCTTTGCACTGCATTTAGCATCGACAAGGTTATGGGCATGGCGGCGTTCAGTGAACTCCTTCTGATACCCTACACTGCATTTCAACTCCCAAAGGGCATGACGGAAAGATTGTAATCATACTTGGTTTCTGTACTTTACTACAGATGGGGGGCTCTACTCCCTTCCGACGGGACTCGACCCTCTACTTCGAGAAATGGCGTAGGAGGTCTGCTTGTTAATGAAATATACCACATTCATGAACTTTACTCTCCCTTTCTGAGGCGTCTTGCCGACAAGCCGTTGTGTTCTGAAGTTTTGGCTCATTGCGACGATGTCTTAGCCGTGGTCGCTTGAAAGGGTTGAAAACAGCCCCCCTTGCGTGATACTATCATCCCCCCTCCCACTTCTTCAGGACCCGGCTCTCAATAGACAGCACCCATAGTCTTCCCTCTATTCTTGAGCCCTCCACATCTTCAGGGAACCAAGGGCTCGAAGCCTCCTGTGATGGAGATCATGCAACTCCCTGAAGATCTGAGCGATGACAGCGACAGTGTATAAAGAAGGCAATGGCTTTCACTTCAAAGGTCTTGGTGTATTGGGCAACTCACCATCCATCCAGTTCGACACAATACCTTACAGGAATTGTTGGTTGACTACTCATTGCTCCAGCCTTTCGGTGTCTTCCTATTGCTGTTCAGATCATTTCTCAACACCATGCAGCAAAGCCTCTTCTTGGGCATCTCCGCCCTTCTCCTCGGAAATGCGGTAGCAGCTCCGAAAAGTTCAGACGAACAGGTGAGATTGACAGGAAACTCAAATCGAATCTTATGAGATGGGTAGTTTGCTAACGAAATTGGAAACCAGGTTGTCGCTCACATCGTCCGAGGCCCAGACTCCCAACCGGACCTAGAATCGGGCGAATGGGTCCGTCCAATCGCCGCCCGGGGCCGCTCCCGATTCCACTTCAACGGCACTTCCAACGGGACTTCGTCTGCTGTCGGCACGGGCACCGCCGCGGGGACCGCCAGCAGCACTCACTACACCCTCTCGTATAATACATCGTCCACCGCTTCCGCCTCCTCCTCGTCGTTCCACGCATCCGGATGCCCCGAAAGTGTCACCACCTCCTTCACCACGGTGGACGTCACGTTTTACATTACGGCTACGACTTCGTATGGCGGCAACTTGACATCATCGAGGGGCACCGGCACAGCCTACCTGCCTTCGTCTTCGTCTTCGCTGCCTGCCAACTCTACCAGTTCAAGAGCAGCATGGAACACCACCTCCTCGACTTCCATGATTCTCTCGACCGGCTACACTTTGCCTGTAAACTCAACAACCGTTTCATCCGCGGCACCGTCCGAGTCTCCCTGTCCTGACGATACCGCCAGCACCCATCAGCCGTACCCTAACATCACGTCGACATACTCCAGCTCGTCCCTGACGACCGGAGGTTCAGATGGAACCGTCACCTCCGTACCCGTCTGGCACAACACCACATCTGCGGCCCCCTCTCAGACAACCGAGCCTTGCGATGATGATATGAGCTCTACTTCCTCATACACCAACTCGACTTCGACGGCGTTCAGCAGCCAGCTCAACTCCACGGCGCCGTGGTCCACCAAAACATCAACCAGCGCGGCCGTGGAGACGCCTTGCGACGATGAGACCAACACCGGAAGCACTGTTCCCACATTCACATCTAGCATGCCCGTCGCCAACTCGACTACGACGTACACTCTCTCCACAAAGACGCAAAATGGAACATACACCCAGTCAGCCACCACCTCGGCCAGCGCCACGACCGAGCCATGCGACGACGAGACCACCTCCAGCGCCTCGGTAGCCCCGACATCGTCCAGCTGGACAACACAGACGCCCGACGTGACGCCCTTCCTCCCCAACACCACCAGCAGCATTGCCACATCCACCGCCCAGGCGACGACAGCCTTCTCCTCCGTCATTCCGACGGAAAGCTGCGTCATCGACACCTCCATGGAGCCCATCACCACCGCCTCGTTGACCACGGTCCCTACCTCGACGACAATCCCAACAAAGACAGTCTGCCAAAACGACGCGCCGACGGGCAAACCAATGCCGGGCAACAACCACTGCGGCGTCCACGGCTTGCCGGTGGGCAACTACTTCCTGGCTCGCTTCGTCAACAACGCCCCCAACGTACCCGTGACCCTCGAGGGCTGCTACCAATTCTGTGCCGTAAGTTGATAATCCTCCCTCCCCTCTTTTCCGAGGAATCTAAGCCCGGCATCGCTGACAAGACTCCTCCTTCACAGAGTGTCATGAACACCACCGACGGCTGCAAGTCGTACCGTTTCTACCCTGAAAAGGGTCTCAACGTCCCGCGGTGCGACCTGTACGGTAGCACCGTCGCTTACGCGCTGGACTCCATCGACAACGACCACCCTGATCTGTGGTTCGATCTCACTTGCGGCTCGCCCTCCAGTGAGCAGTGGGCGCACCTTCCCGGTATCGAGCGTCTTCACGAGCTCGGCCTGGTGAGGTAGATAGATACCTTACTGGACGGCGACCGAGGCGGCTTGTGCCTTGAATTGAACATACAAAATACGAAGGATGCTGTTGAAGCATCGTAATACAACTAGAGAAGAGTAATAGGGGGTTTCCACAAAATGGAGTGGCAATATGGAGAACAACTTATAGTAGTGCATAATAGTATAATCTAAAAGGTTCATTATTCGTACCTGTCATGGCTTTTTTTTCTCTTCATAACTTGCCATATGGCAGCCTGTCATAGACATCTAGTCAAAGGGTATCCGCCGCAGATTATCGCGGGCTCCTCTCTTCCTCATTTCTTGAGCAGCAGCTACACTGCTAGGGACCTTGATGCCGCAGCAATCACCCCATCCGACATGTTGATGCTTATGCTTGCTCACATTCCCCGGGTTAATCTCGCCGCTTTCCTCTTCATGCTCTTCGTCGCCTAGCTCAAAGTCCTGCTCTGTGCTCATCCCATCTACTGCTGGAATGAGCGAACCGAACAAGAAGTGTTGCATGACCGGCAGTTTCCTCAAAACCTCGGCGACGAACATTCGGCGCATACCCCCCTCCACCTTGGTCCATGACTTGGAAGCCGAGATATCGTCCAGCATGGGGCTGTGCCATCGTAGACCCTTGACCGTTTTCGTATCGTTGACGAAGTTGACCTGGCCAAGGTAGAGATAATCTTGACTAAACTCCTCCAGCGTGAGGTCTTGGTGGATCGCCAATGGTGTGATGAATGGATGGTGCAGAAGCTGCGAGGCGCCAAATAGAAATGGGAGAAACTGGTAGTCATCCAAGCCCCATACACCGTGTGAGCCAGCGGGTTCCAGATAGTATGTCAACTGGACGTTACGCATGACCTGCAAGTACCGCTCAAAAACCCTGAGGACCAATGGTCGGAAGTCGCCCTTGCTGATGATTCGAAGTTGGTAAAGGCATAGGAGCCACATGATGAAGTTAAGCTCATGCCCTGAACCGTAGTCTATACGTTGCCTGTTTCCAAAGGAATGCTCCAGATAGACCAAGACCTCAGTGTTTGCGGCCTCGCCGACGCCTAATCCCGTCTGCCAAGCCGCTGCCTTCTCTTTCACCAGGTCTAGGAACGTCCGGAAGGCTTTGTTTCCAAAGCGCGAGCCCTCTTGATCGTCGGGAGGAGCCTCTTTCACAAATCCATCTACTTCGTCGAGTATGCCGAGGATCGACTGTAGTGTAGGGCTGAGTTCGCTATCTTTAACGGCAGAGCGAGGTGTATCTTCGACGGACTCGGAGAGGCCAAGAACGAAAGCTAGAACCAGCGTATATGTCGGGGACGACAAGAATAGCTCATGGTCTTTCTGGGAAAGGATCCGTCGCGAGGGGGTCTTGTATTCGTGGTCATCGAGGCCTAGTGGTGCAGGCAGCGCGGGCGTCTCAGGACGTGGTGTTGGGTTGGAGGGAGTTGGGCGACGTCGGCGGGGTTCTAGCTTAGGAATCTTATTACTCAAGGTAGGCAAGGCTGTCGTGGCGGCATGTGTTGTAGTATCTGCTGAAGCCATGGCGGGAGGAAGCAAACTCGGGAACAGATATCCAGTGTTAAAGGGGCGGTTGTGCAAACAAGCTTGGCGGAATATTGAGTGATGTTGAAGTTAAAGTGAAGCTTAGAAAGCTCGCTGTGCTGAGTACGTACATACTTGTCTGGTAAATGAATGAAGCAGCCCCCACCTGAGGTAAGGTAGGTACGGAGCACATACAGGACGTGCCTGTCGACGCAGGTCTTGATTGTAATTGGTCTGCTGCTGGGAACTTTGCCTCGAGACAGGTACGTACCTGTGGCTCGCCAACTTCATCCTAATTTTTCCTCCCGGAAGTTGCTTGAGGCAGGATATACAGGTTGTCGTTGTACTAATTCGCACTCGCTTTTCGAGCATACCTCAAGGGAGAAATCCTAACTCATCAATTCATTCCCTTGTCCTCATTCTCCATCATTCCCGCATCACCATTCGTCATGACTCTCAATTCGAACCCCCAGGCCCGCATCTCACATCTGCCGCGAGCAGATGGCTCGGCAACGTTTTCAAGAGGCGGCTATTGCGTGGTTGCGGCCGTCAATGGGCCGATTGAGGTCCAACGACGAGACGAAAACCCCTTCGAATCAGTCGTTGATGTTGTCGTACGACCTGCTGCAGGGGTTGGAGGTCAGACTGTCTTTTTTCTGGCACCATGTGGTCACTTTTGCTCATACTCGTTACGACTATTTAGGCACAGGAGAACGCCAACTCGAGAACATCTTGCGGTCCGCCCTTCGCCAGCTGATTCCCGTCAAGAATTTTCCTCGATGTCTTATTCAGGTTACGCTCCAGGTGACTGAGACGCCGCAGAATGACTATGCAAACAGCAAAGTAGTACAAGCTCAGTCTGTAAGTAAAGAAGTCCATCTCAGATACCTCAAAGCCACCGCCCAGTGTCGCCTATCGAGTGCTGTTGCTGACTATCCTACTTTACTAAAGAGTCTGCCCCTGCTACCGGCTCTCTTTCACAGCGCCATCTTGGCCTTGCTGTCGGCTGCTGTGCCTTTGAAGGCTATTGCCACATGTGCCACTTTGGCCGTTGTCCAGAAGGGTGACAAGATCATCGCTGACCCGTCTCCTCTGGAGATTGACCAGTCAAAATCGCTTCACGTTGTCATCTTCACGTCGGAGAACGACCTGTTGTTGTTGGAGAGTGAGGGGACGTTCTCCATGGCCGAGTGGGATGAAGTGATCAACAAAGGTCAACCAGTGTGCAGCCAACACCGTCAAGCGGAGCTAGGTGACGCCATGGACGATGACAGCCAAGACGCAACCGACATGCAGCAGTTCATCCGGACCGTCATGGAATCAAAGGCTGCGTAAAATCAGCCCATCAATCGAAGTATGCAGGGTCTTGGAACCGCCGAGCGACAACCGAGGCGCGGGTGGTTCCTTATTCAGGAGTTCCAGTGAAGAAGAGATGTCGACACTGGCTCAATGTAATCGATGATAAGAAGGACGATACCAACGAGCAACGCGCGGCATCGACGTCTAGCCTCTAGGTATCAGGGACGGCGCCCTTGTATCAAAAGGGATGGTCTGGATTGGTTCACTCAGTTATCAACGGTGAAAACGACAGACTGGGGAGAGTATCGAAACGAGACGGCCGACGGGGTGGCAAGACGAATTATCATGAGGTTTCCTCAGGGGAAGAGCAACGATGACAGCAGCTGGAAACACTGTTGGAGCTGGGAGCCGGGGACCGGCTCGGCAATGGGCCTATTCACAGGCTATCACTTATCACAAACGTCAGAAGCAGTAGCAACATGACACGGAAGACAAGGGCCAGAAAGTTATCCCGCGGCCGATGTTGGGAGAAGTAACTTGACTGGGTCAGGTCGCATATCAAAGTCAAGTAAAGTGGATTGGTACTTATCGACGGCGTTGTTTGGCCTGTTTGAAGGTCGCTGAAAATGCGGCGTGAGGCGGTGTTTCAGCTCGATCTCAGGGGTCCTGAAGCGGGCAGGGGCACGGGGAAACCTGCGACAATGACAGGCCCCGAGGTTAGGAGCTACCGGGTGTTTCTGACCAGGACGTCTCCCATAGCGGTGTTACCTTTGACGCTCTCCCGCCTGCGGAGGAAACTGGAAACGGCTCCGTGACCGTCTTCGGTGGGGGAGAGGATTGGGTGTCCTGCCTTTCTGCATCGGTCGGCACTGGAAAATGGTGTCGGCACTAGAAAATGACACCATTTTCCAGTTGGTGGAGTGTCTCCTGTTTTACCTGGCGCAAGCTACCTACCTTAAATGCCCAGGCCTTTGGCTACCCTTACATAGTAGAAATTCTATTACCCCGAAAAGATCTCCCAGGTTTATCAAGTCACTTCGTGCCTGAGATGGTGATGCCAAAAAAAAAAAAAAATCACCCACGCAATAGTCTGGGTACCTATGAAATAAGGTGACCAATGAGTAGTAGTCGCCAAGAGCCACGGTTGGATACACCATACGAAGCGGCATGGTATTATATTGATTCTGCTCGGGGTGGCTTCGGGCCAGTTTAAGCATAACTGATGTAGGCATGTAAGTAGGGTTGGAATGCGGTTGCATGGTACTCGCCTCCCATCTTCCGGAGCAGCTTTCCTATACTCTAACTGCCTTGATTGCAGAAGCTCAAAGGCATGATCTTGGACTCTTGTCTTTCATCTTCATTGGCCTCCAGTAAGCAAAAGGAATCAGTTTTATCGTTGCGTATGCATGTGTTCCAGCCCGGTGGACCCGGGCCTGTGACCGCTGTTCCGCTTAGCAGTTTGGGCGAAGGCAGCGCCGCAGAGCTTCTAGAACGTCGTGCCAGGAAGGCAGAGGTAGCGGTACCTGGACTTATCAGCGAGGAAGTTCCCCTATACAGTGTGATAACATAATTGGGGGGTGCACCAAACGCACATGTTATCCAGTAACATGGGTCGGGTAACCGCTAGCCAAGGACGTCCATCTACATTTTTTTTTTTTAAAAAAAAAAAAAAGGTACGAAGCGTGAAGAGGTGAAGTACCTTAGGTATTAGGTAGCTCTGCCCGCGGCGGGCCAAAAAGCGGGCGGTGTTTGATCCGCATTAAGTCCAAACCAGCTCGACTCCTCCTTCCTTCTCCATGCAACGCTGATGATAACAACAACGAGAACAACGGCGACAACCTAGGGACATGGGATTGTGCAACAACAGCAGTACGGGAGGTGGATTGTTGTCGAAAGCAGCACAGCCCTCATTCGTACGCTCTGCAGGTTCCCACAGACAACTGACGGCAAACTTCATCTGCCATGTCTCTGATTATCTGCTATCACCAAGGACCTCTACTATTTGTTGAACACATCAGGGCTGGTCCAATATCATCTTGGCTAAGGCATCTCGAGGTAAGGTTCGTTCCGAGGAAAGTCTTGGCTATCGGTTCTTCTTACACCTGGCCGATTCTTCTCGTCGCATCCTCCACTTCACTCACTCACCTCGCCGGCGGTCGACGTTCTACCGGATGGGACACTCTAGATCTGCAAAGAGGTTTTCTTCTTGGAGTCTGACAAGCCATGATCTCCTCTCCTAGCAAGCCGTCCGTTCAGCCATTGGATGTCTCGGCGCTCCCCAAAGGTGATCGAGCCGTCCAGCAGCAATCGGGCTACCTCGGACGACAGCCTCGATCTGCAGATATCACACACACACACACACACACACACACACACCTATCTACCACTGACCCTTGCTTCCTCTCTTCCTCTATCTTGCTGTCATCGGTGGATCATTGTTGCCGTCTCGGGAAGCCTAGGACCGCCCAAGCCGAGCAGCAGCAGAGAGTCAAGGCTCACGTCCTCGAAACACACTGGCATAATGCAGTCCATCGCTGGAAGAGGGTCTACCTAGACTTTGCCCCTCGCTCAGGAACAGGACACAGGCCAAGTTGCGGCCTGCGTCTTTCAGCGGAAAGTTGAGGCCAGACCCGGCGGCGAATACACACACACATATGCACACGCACATGAAAGAAAACTCGCATGCCGTACCTTACTCGACTACAAACGAGTGATTCAGGAGAGAGTCAGAAGAGATGTTGCCGCCAGAATTTGTATACGGTAGTATGGGATATGGGGAAAGACTTGTCATTTGAGACGACGGGAAACCGGACAGATTGGTTGTTTCGCCTCCGACAATCCTGGCCTAGCGGCGTCCCAAACATGAGAGTGAGACTGCACAAGCACCGGTCGATCAGGGCAAAGCAGAGACCAGATTGAAGCCGCATGGCTCTTTGGTTTCTACGCGTTGTGCGGATACCTATCCTCTGTCCAGTCGATAGCCACCGTTTTGGTGATATCCCAATAGCCACCGGATCACCTATTGTGGCTGTCGCACTACCGTACGGGCATGCTTCCCATGCTGCCTCAGTATCGTGACCGCATGACTTGCTCTTGTCATTGGATCCAGCGAGCGCTAACTATTGTTAACGCTTGTTGGAGACAGTTCCACGTTAAACGCAGTCTGGCCTATGGTGTTAATTCTTCTCAATATTTCAATAGAAAGTGGAAAGTTCCAGTCAAGGGCCTCCGACAAATAGAGTCGTGCACAGATCCGAGGCGATTCGATGGCTGGATGTCGGACTGCCCGGTCTTTCTTACACTCGGTGGGTGATCATCGATGCTACTACACGTGTACGAAGGACAGGACCAAAAAGTCTAGACAAGAGCTGATCATGGCAGACCAAGGGCAACAACAATAACAGCAAAAATCAGTAAAGAGAGAGGAGCCTCCCTCGTCTCGTCCGTTGACGTAAAGGAACATAGGCTCGAGTTGCAGAGTATTCGGTACCGTCACAAGTGCGACATTTGTGGCGACCCGAGCGGGTACACGATACACTTGGTGTCCCGTCTCTTGTTGCCTCTCCTGGACGCTGGCCGCAGCTGCAAAAGGGGATGCTGTGCGTGAGGTGCGGCGGGCCTGCAGCGTGCCGCGTGCCTGTCAAGACACGGCAGCATCTGGCTCCAAGGCGCCGGTAAGGTGTGTAGACAGTGGTAATGTAAGGTAAGGACGTATGTACGCAATAATCACGGGCTACATCCGTCTCCGCACAGCAGGTAGCCCTCTCAGTATTGGCTCACCACGATCCAACGGGCCTGCATTGGCTAGGGACTGGGAACCAGAAGTCGTTCCCGGCCCACCACGGGGGTCTGCCATTGTCATGCCGCCCCCTGTTCGTCTCCCTTGCCCTCTGAAGAACCTGGCTCTGCAAAAGAGGTTAGAGGAAGAGACGTTTGACTGGGGATCGCCAGGGATGTGGACGGGGAGTACGTATCGACGTTTTACCACTCGCCGCACCTTGCTTGCCTTGCATCCTCTCGCTGGCTGGCTCTCACACCCGTTGACTTTATCACAAGCCCAATCTTTTTGAGGAACCAGTCCTATCTCTGGGTCTACACGTGTATCCGTAGCATATGGATGCATCGTAACATGCCTACCTGAGTGACGACTACGGATACACCAAGCCACTATCGGGTAGAGTCCGTAGATAGGTACGTATCTGTGCTTCAGGCCACCGATTGCCCGGCCTCCTGGCAGCAGGGTGTTGCATGCAACATGGCAAGGCGCGTACTGCGGGTGCTGAACCTTGGAACTTTGGAGGCTGCCAGAGATGATAGTAACACGGTTAAGCATATGGGTCATGGATGTGGCTAAGGAGTAGTAGGGTATTCGTAGTTCGTAACTTCGGTCTTCGTGACTTCGTACGGATACAGTCCAACAACATGGCCAGGGCGGATAGAAGAACAAGGTAATAGGTTATGGATCAGGACGGGGGGCCCACGGGTACCGAGAGGGAAGAGAAGATTGGCTTCTTGATATCCGTACCTTACACCACCTGAAGACGGAGTAGGGATACCTCTTGAAGAAAAGTCAAGTGGATTATTCTCAGCCCGTAGCAAAGTAGCAGAACAGGGTGCTTGAGCTTGGGCGTTGTGGCGGGAGCGCCCTTTGTCGCATCACATCCATCCTGCTGCTCGATTCGATCGACATCAGACTGAAAACAATAGAAATGGAGAAGAGGGGGGGGGGGGCCTAAGGGGAGGAGAGGGGAGAAATATCTATTGTGACCTAGAATATTAAAGCTCCTGCATTGCTGGGACGAATCTTGAACTGGCCTCCCCTCTGTTCTCTTGTCAGTCAGTCTGGTCACTCTCTTATTTCGTCTTCGTTTGGTTTATCGCTCTTCTTCTTCTTCTTCTTCTTCCTCTTCCTCCTTCTCTCTTCCACCACAAACTCCTCCTCTTCTCTCCTTCTCCCATTCATCCCGTTCCTTTCGAAGCAGAGCTCCGGTAGTTCTAGCAATTACCTCGGCCGCTACGTTTTTTGGGGCATTGTTCATAATTCTTGCTTGACTACGTCGCTTTGCCTTGTCTTTGCATCAGATACCTTGCGTGTGCACTGCATTGCTATCATACCCCTTTTCACTTAATTACTTCGTTGCGGCTGCTGGCTTTTCATCGTTTCTTATTTGATCGCCTTCGGTTTCACACTGTCGACTCGGCTCAGTTCTCGTCATCCTCAAGCCCAGGACGCCCCAACCGGACTACCAAGAACCGACCTGCCAGACGAGTAGTTCATCACTCAGGTTCTGGTCAGTCGTCACACCCGACTGCAACATTGTCAGACAAATCAGCAGTCATCAGCCTGGTTTAGTTATCCGCCCCGAGGCGGCAATTCGACTCAATTTAGCGTCATTCGTTCCATCCGAGACCCCGTCACACCCGAGTCACAACTCTGCAGGAAGCGCCCAGCTTACCTGCACATCGACCTGCATCTCTAGAGGGTGCCTGAGAGAGCAAAACAGGAAAAGAAAAAGGAAGACAGACAGTCTCTTTGAGCGTAGAGCTTAGAGTTACAAGCGCCAATCTCAGTAAGGTTGCCAGGTTGCCAAGCTTGCGAAAGCACCGACTATCTCCGTTTGGACACTGTTCTGAACCTGTGTTCTACCCGACATCAGAGACGTTCTGAACACTTGTACGAGTTTGTGGTAAATCCGTCCAGTACGGATACCCGTTCCATCACACAAGCAAAGGTCGTTCAATCGCGGCCTAACACAAGGATCTACACGGCAACAACGCCCATCAGTACTTGACCGATTCCATCGGCGTCGGTGGTCCGTAAGGTCCGGTTGTTTCCCAGGTTCCATTTCCTTGGACTCTGGAGTCTAGAAAGTTGCTTGGTCGACCTTCTTTTGTGTGTGGTCTCCACGTTGTAGGAACTGTTCTTTGGTACTTGCTACTTCTCGGCTCGCCAGCAGTCAGTTGTGTCTGCTATTACCGCTTGGTGTTCGAACTTCGCTCGGCCTTAGCGGAGAACAGGTCCCTGCCACCACCCGACCCCCTGCCAGCTTCCACGGTTCGCCTACCAAGTCGGAAGTACCTACCTTGAGGTACCCGTGCCTTCCACCACATACCTTTCGGAGAAAGGTACTTAGGTTTTCTGCCGTGCAGCCCACGCCCCCGGAAGGTGCTATTATTACTCTTTCGTCACTGCCGCTGCATTATTTTTTGCGACAATTAATTACCACCTAGCCGTCCATCGCTCACTTTCCGGCCATTCAACTCACCTTGCACCTTGGATCGGTTCGCGCGGTACAGAGTACTTCGCTCCTCCATCCATACACCCATACCCCGATCTCCATCCACATCTCTCTCACTTTCCACGCCCCGTCGGCGGAGATACACTATTCTTAACCATGTCGGGCTTCGTCTCCTCGCCCACCGCCCTGCACCCGGCCCTCAGTAATCCGAATCCGCTTCCGCCGCCAGCGCCATTGTCACTGCAACAGCACCAGCCGTCCTCGTTGCCGTCCTCGTCGCCCTCTTCCGACCCCCATGGAGTTAAAACCTCGCTTTCCGACCGCCCCAAAAGCTCCAGCGCCAGTGTCAGCACCACTACCGTCCACGACCGACCTCTCTCTTCTTCCGCCTCCACCTCCAACTCCGTCTCCCATTTACACTCGCAGACACACTCGCACTCACTGTCACTGCATCGCAATGCTGGCCCGGTAGCAGAGGAGGAACCCTACGCTGGCGCCCAAGCCGGATTTCCCGCTACAGCTGCTGCAACACAAAACCCCTCGTCCTCGATAAGAAGAAGCTCCCTATCAATAACCTCTACCGCCGCCTATCCCGAACTGCTCCCGCCTCCTCTTTCCAAGTCTACCAACGCCAACGCCAGCGCTGCCGCCCATCCTCCCAAGGGCCATCGTCGCGCACCTTCCCACGAAGTTCCCCGCCAGACTATTATGAAAGCCTTGGCCTCGGTTGTTCGCAGAAATAAACCCGAAGCCCTCTCACTTACCGGCATGTTGTCCCAGCAAGGCGGTTGCGACAACCGCCCCGCCACTTCTTCATCCCAGAAGCTGGCCGACGCCTTGAACGAGCTGGCCAACCGGAGCATGACCCCCACCACCGCCCTACCCTCCTTGCAGTCCCCCTGCTTCTACCACAACCGATTCGATGATGCCGTCAACATCGACAAGGTTCTCGAGGAGATTAAGAATGACGACTGCATGTCACACTCTAGGCTCGTGCAGACAGCCACCGGCGTCCGCGAGGTCTCCAAGCAGTTGCAACGTCGCCCCATCAAGCGCGCTGTTCGCAATGTCATGATTGTCACCAAGGCTCGCGATAACCAGCTCGTCTACTTGACCCGCGAGCTCGCTACCTGGTTGCTTCGCACTCCGAGGTATGGTGCCGACGTTGGCGTTAATGTCTATGTGGATGCCAAGCTGCGCAACTCTCGACGCTTCGATGCCAATGGCATTGTTGCAGAGAATCCTGCGTATCAGGACATGCTTAAGTACTGGACGCCTGATTTATGCTGGAGCCAACCTGAGAAGTTCGACCTAGTCCTCACCCTCGGCGGTGATGGAACCGTTCTGTTCACATCATGGCTTTTTCAGCGCATCGTGCCTCCCGTCTTGTCCTTCAGCCTGGGTAGTCTCGGCTTCCTAACGAGCTTCGAATTCGAAAAGTACACGCAGCACTTGGACCGGATCATGGGAGACGAGGGCATGCGTGTCAACTTGCGTATGCGCTTCACCTGCACTGTCTACCGTGACGGCACTCTTGGCCAAGAGGCGGAGGAAGGAGAGCAATTCGAGGTTCTCAACGAACTTGTTATCGACCGCGGCCCATCCCCATATGTTTCGAACTTGGAACTCTACGGCGATGACGAGCTTCTTACTGTCGTGCAGGCCGACGGCTGCATTTTCTCCACTCCGACAGGATCAACTGCTTATTCTCTTTCGGCCGGAGGTTCCTTGGTACACCCCGACATCCCGGCTATTCTCCTGACACCTATCTGCCCGCATACCCTCTCATTCCGCCCGATGGTTCTCTCTGACACGATGCTCCTCCGCGTGTCGGTGCCGCGCAATTCGCGCGCAACGGCGTACTGCGCCTTTGATGGCAAGGGTCGTGTTGAGTTGAAGCAAGGAGACTACGTCACCATCACCGCCTCACAATATCCATTTCCTACAGTTGTCCGAACTCAGACGGAGTGGTTCGACAGCGTTTCCCGCACTCTTCGCTGGAATACGCGCGCCGCAACGCAAAAGGGCTTCGACCCCTCTGCTGGCGGCAGCCTCTGCCCGTCTGAGGACGGCAAGGATGAAGATCCGGAGTGGGACATTGACACCGACTCGGCCTGCTACGCTAGCGAGGACGGGAGCATCAGTGCGAGTCCCTTGAGAAGGCAGATGAGTCTGCTGGGCATGTGATTAACGGCCGTTTGTTTATTCGTGAAAGACAGAGCATCATGATTCCCAACTTTCTTCGAAATCACAAAAGAGGCAGCTCAGCTACGCAAAGCAGCACGCTCTGTTCAGTTCGACTATGCTGCACTGCACCTTTGCATTTCGCCCCACGAGCGAGGAGGGTGGGCTAGACTAAGATGTTTTGGCATCTTTTATTTCTTTGTTTTATAGACTTGAGCGATTTCGCAAGGCATAAGAAAGACGGAAACGCATGGGACGCCCACTGCTGTGTGTGCGTGGATGCGTGGATGGAAAGACTGAGATCTGACATGCTCGCATGAGCAGTGTTGTTTAACATCATCATCATAAGACGAGGGAGATAATACTGGCATTGGCACTGGCACGGTATATACTTGCATGAGGTAGCTGTCGGGTGCGCAGGCCAACGTACCCGCCCGCCTTTCAACTTGAAAGAAGAGAGGGGAAGAGGATGTCGATCCTCTTGTGACCGGCGAATACATAGTCTCAAGAGAGAGAAAGAGAAATAGAAACAAAGAGAGTGAGATCAAAATCTCACCAGCATCTGCGGTTGGTGCTAGATCCGACTAGCAGGTGTGGTCACATACCAAACAGCTTTTGCCACAAACGTGAACCTAGATCCCTTCAGCCCCTGTGCCTGACTCGAAGTCACCTCTTCTCATGTATTCCTCCCAAACAAAGAGCGTATGTAATCTTGACATTCTGCAACAATAAACATGAGGGCTGTTTCTGGATGAGCACGAGCATCTGGGTTATCATGTGAGAGCATTGAGAATCCGTGCCTATCTACGGAGACAACAAGAAGATGATGGCACCTTGGTTTACAACCTTGTTCACATATAGTAATACAGACACTAGTTACCACTACTCGGTGATCCGAAGTCAAATAGACACATCGGTTACGTTGTTAGTTTTTTTGTGTTTCATTGCTCTATTTATGACTTGCTTCGCCGTGGCGCCTTACAGGCTTGTCTAGAACATAAACATTGCACACGTACAACCGACTTTGCAGAGCCACATCTACAACCAAATCCCAAGACGCCTTTTGCTTGTTAGAATTTCAAGCCCCAACACAACACCAACACATGAGGACAAAGACGGTCCTCCTTCAACTGATACGCAGTGCGACATTAGAGAGCGAGAGCTGGGTTCCATCATGTCGGTCATGGCTCCTGCAAGAGACGACAGAAGTATAGAACGTTTGCAAGCGATAGATGGCATGACCGGCACATCCATCTCTGAATTTGCTGGACCTTCAGCCACGCTTACTGTGTCTTTCTGTGTCGCAACTCGCTTGACGAGGGGGAGGGGGCCACTGCCCATGTTGTTGGACTTGTATCTGTCCGTTGCTACCACGGAGCCGACTGAGTGTCCACAAGGGGACGCAACAAAGACACTCAGTTTTTGTGCAGATTACTCCCGACGAGAGTGTGAAGCCGCCTACCTCCACACCAAGTTTCTATCGCCAGGCACCTTGGCTAAGAGACAACAGACCTGCGATGCAATCCATGTCGCCCTTCTTGCTTGGACTCACATCGCCGCCGCGCATGAAACTCTCCACCTCGTCTGCGCCCTTTGTCGTAGGTGAGCTTGAGCTCTGCCCATCTTCGAATATGGTGACATATTTTCCGGATCCTCGGCGTCCCATAGCGGGCATCGTTCTGGCCCGGCTACTGCTGAATATAGCAGGCCCGGGATGGTCCTGTAAAGTACGACCTGTTCGTCTCGCATTGTTCTTGCCGTCAACGGCAGCCGGCAAAGGTCTCCGGTCATTGATTGGCGGCAACCGACGCATGTTGCCTTGGTCCTCAGGTGTCCAATTCTCCTTATCAGAATCACCCGATGGAGATATCAGCATGTCCACCTTGACCTTGTCATCCAGGCTTTTTTCTTCACTTGGTTGAGATACGGACTCCTCGCCATCAGTGAGTGATGTTTGCATTCTAGCCATGCTGGAAGATGTGCGACAGAGCTTAGGCTTCTTAGCCTGTTGAGGTCGAGAAGCCGGCCTACTTGCAGGACAGTTCCGTTTGGAGCTGTTGTTTTGAAGAACGCCGCTGGTTGAGCGGAGAAGACTGATGGCAGCGACAGCAGAGCCATTAGACTCATCTTCAGCTTGCGTCGTGAGCTCGTCACGAGTATCAGCATCACAGCAGAGCTCCCATGCGTGAGCGTCACGAGATCTGCCTCGTCCCAGTGCCGGTGGCAGCGAGTCAGTGAGGGCTGTTATGGGTGGTAGAGTCACGCTAGGGAGGGCACTGTGACTGCGCTGGAGTGGTCGAGCTATTCTGGGCTGAGGCAAGGGTGCCAAATCCGAGAATAGCTTCGTAGGCTGAAAGCGAGGGGGTGAGTTCTCATTAGAGACAAGCTCAGCTTTGCCTTCGAGCGAAAGCGACAATCGCACCTGCGACTGTTGCGACGATTGAGGAGAGGGCAGGGTTTGTGATCCATGTGCAGGCGGTGAGCAAGACGCAGGTGTATATAGATCGGATCTGCATAATATGTTAGCTAGAAGACAGCCCACGATCAATTAAACGAGACATACTTAGGGGTTTCGTCAGCGCTGCGGTTGAGCGTTGTAGGGGTTGAAAAGGCACTTGCTGCGTTCCAATGAGAAGATGTGAAGAACCCAACAGAGTTTGAAAAAGAGAATGACCCCGTTGAGTGAGGCTGAGACGAGGAAGCCGTGACTTGGGACAACGGCGTCTCCAGAACCGTCGTCTCAGGACCGCCACTTAAAATGGACGGTGTTGCGTGTTGAGGCTGTTCATCGGCCTCGTCTCCGCGCACTTGTAAAGCCTTGACCGGAGTCTCCGCAGGCACGACAGCATTGATGGGAGCTGTTTCTACCACTGGCGATGCTTTTTCTTCCGGCAAAGAAGAGGTGTAGGCTACTGGATCCGAAGAGAGTATCTGCATACCGCCGTACCGGAGAGCAGCAATCTCCTGAGCGGAGAGGGGCCGCGACTTGCGCCTGTCATTCTGTCGACGATTTTGGAACCATATCTACACGCTCGCAATCAGCACCAAGCGCGACCGTTATCGTACCGGCAAAGCTATCAAATACCTGAACCTCCTTTTCGTTGAGAGAGACGCGCTTCACGATGTCTAGGCGTGCTGCCTTGTCTGGTTTCGGGTTCGCAACGTAGGCAGCCTCGAGTATCGACTTGTCTTTGGCACTACAGTGATCAAACGAGAGTCAGTGGCTGTAGCACAAGAACGCGTTGCAATTGGGGCCAAGAACAATGACATACGCAGTTCTCTTCCTCTTTCCCTTTGGGTGACGCTCAGAGTCGGTGTTTGACACTTCTGTCTTGACAGACGAAGATGGCGCGAAGTCAGGAGTTTCTGTCCCAGTTGCAAGAGGCTGTCTGGTAGGAGTCTGCGCGGGTTGATCTGTCCGGAAGGAGGATTCGCGTGGAGAGGGGGAAGAAGAGGACGGCGGAGCTCCAACCAAGGCTTGAGAGGAGATGTCGGAGACAGACATGGCGGCGGTCGAAGCTAGGAGTCGTAAACGACAGTCATGATCTGGGGTCGATGCAACTGAACGAGATGTCGCGAGCCGGGGGCGATGGTAGCGAGCGTGCACTCAAGGAAGATTGGACAAGACACGGGACAGGCGTGACAATAAAGTGAATTGGAGATAATCGTAGGACTGCAGGCAAAACAAAGTTGGGAGGAGAACAAAGTAAAGAGGAAGAATGACGAAGAGAGGCTCCCAGGAACGGACGAGGTGGGGAAGCGAGAGTGTCGAGACACACGAGGCGCGGTTATTCGTCGCAATTAAGGTCAGGTACGGTCCAGGTGAGTTGTGGTGCCTCCCACATGGGTTTTGGTGTTGAACACGGCGCGTCTGAGAACCCCAACTAGGGAAAGGCACTTACACGCTAGGGACGTGGATAGTGGAGTTGCAGATACCCGGCCAGGGTACCGTAGGTACTGAGCTTGGTCTGATACCGGCTCGGTGCAGGGATACAAAAGTGTTTCTGAAAATCATGTTGAGCAAGCATTTATAAGAAGAAGAAAAGAAAGAAAGAAAAGTGAAATTCCACTGCAGATTCCAGCAAACTCGCACTGACGCGTAATACACATCGTATTTGGTCGTGAGTGTGATGCGAAGTAGTTGACTGAGTAGCAAGTGATAATCATCTACGGAGTACAGTGACACTAAGCCTACCAGGTTAGGTAAGGTACCGCACAACAGCGCGATCGCGGCACGGATCCGCAGACCCACCAAGTCACCTCCACGTCTGTTTTTGTGTGCTTTATCACCTTACGAATACCTTGCAACAATGTTTGCGCTTGAGCATCAGGCGCGGCATGCTTCCATCTACATTTCGTGGGCCTCATGTTCCATGGCCGGACGGATGCGGCGCAGATAGTCTGTAAGCCAATCCAAGTACACATTCATCTGGATTGAGCGATGTCGTTCGCAAGTCATAACCAATACATGCACGTACTTCAGCACATGTCTTCATGTTGACTGACCCCAAGGCCTGTTGTTCCTTGCTGACTTGAACCCAAGTCTACGCGCTCAATGTAGGTACCTAGCTTCTGCAAATTAGTGTCATAACGTGAGGTACGAATAGCCTATGCGTAAAAGGCTTGGACCAGTCACGTCGCGCGTCTGTTTTCAATTGGGAAATAAAACAAAAACAGTCTACTTTCCATCACCAGGGGCTACATACACCGACAAGATTGAAGACAGACCCTAAAAATACCGAATACCTTAATCATTTGCGGTCCGCATGGAAATTACAAGCACGCATCGAACTATGCTAGTCTTACCGTCGACGACCTGACCGATGAATATCCCTTAGACTTTAGTCCACTCGCTCTCTCATCTTACCTCCACACCTCGTTCTCCTCCTCATTTTCTGGACTTGGCGTGCTTTTGGTCTGGCGCCTCGCCGGATGAACAACGCGCCTATGCATACAAGTTTGCCTCTCGCGCCGTAAAAGCTGTTCGTGACATACCGGATAACAAGCTCATAAAGTCAAATGTGAAAACCGTATCCAACAAAAGCGAAGTCGAGATTGGTCATGTACTGCAATCTGAAATATTACTCCTCGTCATATTTACGTGACACCACGCGCGTGCAAAACACCCCGGTTCGATCTGAATTCGATACTATGCTTCCGGTAGCGGTAGAACGCGAAAGGCAACTGGTCGTCGCTTGTGCGTGGTATTTGACCCCAGACCATCCCTCCTCCGTGTACCCACCCTGCCGCATCTGACCGAGTCTGCTTGGGGACCATGGAGCCTGGCGCGAATGCGAATTGGTGCATGAAGGCTGGAACAAGATACGGACACACTTGATTGAGTGCGGAAAAACTTTCTTCTCCGTCGCATACCAATAAAGGCCCACCTCGCCCTCCCACCTAGAAATCCAGCAGACCCAGTGACGCGCCTTGCAATTGGCACATAAGCCGCACTCAGCACAAGAATATCCATTACAATCCATGTCCTCCTAAGCCCCGCTAGCAACTCTCGGTTCTCCCGTCAGACACCAAAGTTCCGTACTATCAGAGATTAACACCCAGCCACCTCCCCAACAAACAGACAACCAGACGCGTCGCTGGATCCCGAGTATTTAACAGGCTAGCACTTCTATTACCTTAAATGGAAAGTCCTGGGCCCAGACCCCGGAGTATTGCTATGCCTTTCGATGAGTGTCGGTGAGAGGTGGGAACAGTTACTCATGCTGTGTAATATATTTTCAAAGTTGGCATTCTTGAACACAGTGTAGAAACGAAGAACTAATATGGAAGCCTCTGTAGGTTGAGCTTTCGGCAAAACACAACTCAGTTGTTGAAGACATAATCGTAAGGCAGGTAGGTGTACGAAATAACTTAGCAGCTGAAACTTGAATTGAGAGGAGTTTGATCGTTTGCACAAATGGGCCTGTATCGTGGCCGCAAGCACTATTTTTGCCCCAACTTTCGGTATGTCTTTTCAAGGGTCCGGGGCCGTCTCCTCTGATGGTCTCCAACCACCTCTGGATGTACACGATACGGAGTACTCTGTCAAGGCCGGTGCATACCCACTGTTCGCTTCTTTGAACGCGCTTTTGGTTTACCATAGTACTTCATTCGGTCTCGCTCGCAAACAGGGTCCGTCACATTATCGTCTAAGGGACTACTTACTTTAGTGCTACTTATGCACCTTTCGAGATATCTGGAACCCACTTATTATCTCTCATTCAGAATATGATGTGACGTAGCGTGGTTGAGTTGCATGTTGTGGTCCTGACGAGACCATGTTCATGACCGTTTCTCTACCTGCTTTTGCGCTCTTTCCTCTCTCTCCTTGTCTGTATGTCTGTCTGTCTCCCCATTCATGCCTAGCTAACCATTGAATTGCTATCTAATTAAATGCATTGCGCTGTCTGTCGAGGTACGGACACGCATAGTAGAGAAGTGGACGAGCGGAACCCGAGACACCTTGGTGGAAATGTAAGGACTCAGTGTTCATCTTGTAAGGCGTCAAACTACTCAAAGTATGCTGGTCGTCTCGCAGCAAGTGTAAAACCCTCCATCCAGCTCCGAGTCTACCATACGAACCGGCCGTGCCGTCTTCTACCATAATGACCGTGACCAGCTATTGCCGGTCTGCGCCAGAGAATTTCGGTTCACGACGTCCTTTCAACCGTTCCACCGCGTTGGGATCATGTCCATGCCGCGTCTCTATCTTTACAAGTCTTCGTCCGAAAGTTCACCGGGCAGAGGCATGTTGGCGGCCTCATCCATCTCCTTGCGGTACTGCTCGAGGAGCTTCTCGTCGACCTGAGCGGTGGGGGGAGCGAGAGCCGGTGCAGCAACGAATTCCTGTGGAGCAATTAGCATGAAAATCTTCGAGGCAGAAACCGGTGCAGAGAGTCGTTCGGGAGCGTACCAAAGCGGGGTTGCCGACAAGCTTGCGTGCAAGCCAGAGGAAAGGCTTCTCGAAGTTGTAGTTGGACTTGGCAGAGATATCGTAGTACTGGAGGTTCTTCTTGCGGTGGAAGGTAATAGTCTTGGCCTTGACCTTGCGCTCCTTCACGTCGACCTTGTTACCGCAGAGAACGATGGGGATGTTCTCGCAAACACGAACGAGATCGCCTAGATGCTCCTTGTTAGTTGGGCTGGTCGTTTGGGGTCAAAGACATGAACTCGAGTCATGCCAATCCGAAGGGTGCCACGTACGGTGCCAGTTGGGGACGTTCTTGTAGGTGATACGGGAGGTGACATCGAACATGATGATACCGCACTGTCCGTTGATGTAGTAACCATCACGGAGACCGCCGAACTTCTCCTGGCCGGCGGTATCCCAAACATCGAACTGAATCTGACCAAAGTTCTGCGCGCGCTGAGTTAGAAACCGGCGACGGATGCTGTAGGGGAACCAAGTCCATGGGAGGTACTTACCGTGCTGAAACCCAGAGGGTGGACTTCGACACCAAGAGTGGCCATGTACTTCTTCTCGAACTCACCAGTCAAGTGACGCTTGACGAAGGTGGTCTGCAACGTCACACACTGTTAGCAACGCGATAAAATGGAGGGGGGAAGTGGAAGGGAATGCCATCGGCTCAAGTCGAGGGGTCGATGTTGGCGAAGAGGGCAAGCGCTGCTGTCGGGCGCAACCTCGACAAGGGCGATGGGGGACGAGGGACTATTAGATTCACCTTTCCGGTACCGCCATCACCGACAAGGACGAGCTTGAAGGTAGGAGTTTCGGCCATGTTTGCTATCGGTGAAGGAATCGGTTCGGTGCGAGTTAATTGTAAACAAGCGGGGCTGGTCGCGAGGTTAGCAGCTGGCGCAAAGCGAAAGAAGGCAAACAGATGGGGAGATTTGTCGACGTGAAGGCGAAAACCAGCGTCGGCAAGGGCGCGGAGTAGATGATATCGTACCGGAGAGAGGGATGAGTAGTGGGCTGTAAACTTTTCGACGTGTGGAAATCGTCACCGACTGATCGACTTTAGGGGGGGTTATGTTTTTGAGGATGGCGGGGGAGCTTGCAAGGAAGCCGTACTTCTTAAGCGAAAAATTCAGTCAGGCAGGCCAACGAAGTCGGGTAGGCACGATTGGGCTAGGCAAGGGTCACGTGCGGCGCTGTCTCGTCATAGCGGGGTCCCCTTTCAATGGGCGACGGCAAGTACGTCTCTTTCCATTTGTTCTTTCCTCCGGGCCGTTTCCATTTGGGTGACTGGATGTTTCCTTGTCTCCTTCAGCAACAAGTTGGGTCCCATTGCTTCGGGCACTTGAGGATTACAACCCTTCGCCGGCAGATCGCTCTCACTAAAAAACCCAAGGTAAGAAATATCACCCAGTTTGGCGGCGAATGCATACTTGACGCGCTCGACCACTCTCATGCCCGTACGTATCATGGAAACTACCAAAATAATTTTCGAGGTCCGCTTTTTCGTCACTGCTTACCTTAGGTTGGGAGAGAGCGGCGTGGGCGGTCAATCCAGACATACGGCACCTGTGTTAGCCATCCATTGATGTTCTTCTTTCACACCAGAACATGCAATCAATATCTCAAAAGTAAGTAGTGCCAACATCATCCTCCGCCACACATCTCACAAAATCCCTTGAGCATTCGACACAGGCACCTGTCCCATCAGGCCGCGACTTGCTTTGTAATCCAACTACCATACCACCCTGCCTGTTTCTAATCGCTGCCTATTCAGCCATGGCAATTATCTGCCTAATGGTTCATCTAATGACCGCAGCCGGTGGCTTACACCAGGTACCTAGTCGTGCTAGTGAATCCAGAAGTATGCCGAGCCACGTGGAGTCGAAGCGTCCTCCTGCCAGTTGATTGTTCCTTGCGGGCACCCAAGGCATTAGTGACTCTGACTGATTGAATTCAATAGCGCGCAGCCTTGTACTTTTCGGCATGAGTCTTCATGTCTTATGTAAGTGAAGTCGTCGCGAAACATGTCGGTTGGCCTACTGTACATGCGGCGATATCAGATCCTCATTTGGCCCCCGCAGCTGAAGCAATATATTCCTCTCTCACAAAGGTAGGATGTGACAGCCCAGCAAACCTCTGCCACCCCAGTTACGTCTCGGAGTAAGTGTTACGTGCAACTCCTCCCGCGCCCCTTGGCTGGGTCGAGACACCCTGACCAGAACAGGTCGCTTTGTCTGGTTAATGTCATATCCACACAAGTGTCTGGCAACAGTCAACTTACACCTTCATTCCCTTGCACGCATTCGGCCACCTTCTTGAGATTGTCGTGATTTGAGCTGTTGACGTAGCCAAATACGCGAATCTGGTCGTTCGGCTTTAGGCCAGCTAACTCGGCTGGGCTTCCCGGAACCACCGTGTTGACCTTTGCGAATGGCTCCTCCAGCGGCTGAGATGCTGAATGGTCTGCCAGGGTGTTATTGGCACCCCCGGAGAGCGGAACTTCGGTTATCTCCTCTCCTTGCAAGCTGGCAAAGTGCTCATGGAGTTGTTTCTCAACCATGGTCATGAGCTCTTTGTAGTCATTGCGGAGGTGGATGATGCGGGCTCTGGTAGTACGCACTATTACAATCAGCGAGGTACTAGATCTCTGCCACCAGAGGAGAAACACCTTGAGCAATATCGAGATCGGCTCTTGGAAAGCCGTCCTGAGTTGTGAGAGGTGTGTTCATGTCAACTCCGTGCTGGCTCGCCAATCAGCTGAATGCTCGCTTCTCCATGTTCGTCTCCGAACACTGGAGCGGGGGGTCTTGAAATCACAAACAGAGTCGAGGACTGCGCCCAAAGCTTTCAACTCAGCCTCCATGTTTTCCTTCTTGTTCTGTAGCTCCGCAAAAGAGAGGCGACCAAGGTCACCGTTCCTTGACGTATTGCTGGCTGGGCCCGAGGGCACGGTTGGAGCGTGTATGTTGTCCATCCTGAGGGGCAATCCCATAGCTGACCGGACGGACCGATAGAAATGTGAGGGGGCTTTAGTGCGATGAAGAGTCGGTTCCTGACTTCTTGCAGCGATGGCAGACGACTTCGTTCATGTCCCCAGTATTTGGGCTGGAATTGATATTGGTGGACCTCAACTTCAACCCTCTCTGTTGGGGTATTGCATCGACATAAAGGACATTGTGAGCCCCGCGCCCCAAATCCTTGGGCAGCGTCATGGGGACCTGCCTAGCACCTAGGTAGCTACCTTACCTTACCTAGCCGGGTACCACAGGTGCTTGGGAACCTGGAGTAGGTACCTATCGAGCCTTAGGTTCATTGGCCGTGCCGGCCTTAGGTACCTAGGTAGGGTACCTAGCCTGGGTAGGTGCCCAGTATTGTGACTCCCCATGCGCTGACTAACTCACAAGACCTGGTGGGAGCCTAGAATCACTGCTCGTACCTGAGGCACAAGATGCGGTCTGACTGGAACCCGACGCGTCCATTCAGCGACCCGATGCAGCCCCGGCGACAGCTCTAAGTTCAACCCCAGCCAGCTCCCGATCTCTTGCCAGACTGTCCTTGTATCAACGTCACAGTTCCATTTCTTCTTCCTCCATCCTCTTACCACGTCCGCTCTTTGCCTCTCCGATCATCATGGCGACCGGCGTCGACGCAAAGCTCCTAAAGTCCACCAAATTCCCTGCGGAATTCAATCAAAAGGTTGACATGCAAAAAGTCAACCTTCAGGTGATGAAAAAGCATGAGCCTCGCCTTCCATTGTCATCCAATTGCTAACTGATCTTTTTTCAGGTGGATAGCCAGCAAAATTTCCGACATCCTGGGAAGCGAAGATGACGTTGTTATCGAGCTTTGTTTCAATCTGATCGAAGGGCCCCGATTTGTCAGTATTGTCTGCCTCGACCGATTCTCGCGATTATCTTCTGACTTTCCTCCAGCCAGACATCAAAGCTTTACAAATACAACTTACGGGCTTCTTGGACAAGGACACGGCGCCATTCTGCAGGGAACTATGGAAATTGTTCTTGAGTGCCCAAACAAGCCCTCAGGGTGTGCCCAAAGAACTTCTAGAGGCCAAGAAGCTAGAGCTGATACAAGAAAAGGTACGTATCAATCTTCATTCAAAGCCAAGGATAGTCACTGACGTAGACCAGATGGAAGCCGATCGCGCTGCAGACGAGGCACGACGCCGCCGAGGCGATATCGACAGGCGTCAACAAGATGGCCCGGCACCGAGAGATAGGGATCGCGGTGAACGCGGACGCGGCCGCGGCGGCGGTGGAGACATGTGGCGCGGTCGCAACAGTGACAGGGACTACGACCCAAGAGGTAGACACGGAGGACGGTTTGGTGGCAACAGGTCGCGCTCACCGGCTGCGAGGAACCGTGATCAGAGGGACAGAGGCTCGTTCCGTGGGTCCACTAGAGACAGCTATGTCCCAAGGAATCGCGGTCTCGACAGCCGAGTATCTGGCCGTCTTCGCAACGACACGCGCTCTCCGTCTCCGGCATCCGCCACCTCACGGTCGCGCAGCCCCGATCGCAAGCGGGACTCTAGCCGTGGCTCGCCCCCGGCCCCTGCCCGACGAACTCGTCGAGAACGCAGCGTATCCAGCCCCAGGCCTACGAGAAATCGATCGGCGTCGCCGAGAAGGAGCCAGGGGAAGTATCGCGAATCACGAAGGAAAAGGAGATCTTCACGAAGCCCTTCGACGCCCTCAACATCGCCTGATAAGCGGGCGGCTGCAAAGCGCCGTAGATACTCCTCATCACGGAGTCGTTCGCCAGGTCGTGAGAGACGATCCCGCAGTAGAAGCTCGAACTTAGCATCATCTCGAAGTCCTAGATCACGCAGCCGTAGCTCTACGCGTCGAACCTCTCGGGGACGTGCAAGTCCGAGATCTCGAAGCAGTCCCCGACATCGCCACGATAGTAGCGTCTCTCGCTCTTCGGATCCCAGCGGTCGAGGAGCAACAGCCGATAATATCAACGAGACTGATCGCGAGAGCAGGAGAGGCCAAGGAGAGGGAGAGGGTGAGGCAAAAGGAAGCAGAAGACGCAATTCATAGCCTCGCCGCATGGAGATCGGCTGATGACTATAAGAGGCGACTTCCAAACTTTGCACAACTTTAACCAGGCCGATTCCTGCGTCACAAGACGATAGGTGGGTGGCGATGCTTGGAACGGCATCCGACAACTCAAACAGGTCTGGCTAATCTGATACTGGCACTATGCAGATGCATCGTTGCCAGGTCTTCCAGCAGCATTGGTGAAGGCAAAAGATCACGGGAGAATGGTGAAAAATTAGAGACGCTAAGCTCGCATTTCGCCTCATTTACAACCGGCTCAGGCTAATCGTCTAAGAAGTTTTGCTGCATACCTTACACAAACATACGAACTCGCTGGTCAATTGGGTGGAGGGCCCAAGGCGAAGCCATTCGCTTAATTTGGTACGTTAACTGTATCTTCTCGAGTCCCATAGACATAAGGCACCTGAGGGATTCTGCCTACCTCTTCCGTGACAGCTGTTTATACAGTTCGGTCTCTACTATCTTGCATTTCTTTTTGCCCAACAAAGTACCAAGAATGGCACGACACAGCCATGGTTCTAATTCGTCATTCCGTTTTCTACCATCACCGTTGCTATTTGATCCAAAGTCAAGTACGGCCTTGGAGAAGGGAGGGAAATACCAGACTCAAGTCGGCAATGACCACGAATTCGTAAGCTAGATAGCCATGATCATTTCAATTAAACTGGTCCACAATCTTGAAACAGATTTTTCTCCTACATGCCAGACATGGGAATTGAATGCGATGCATTTGCGACACTACTGAGTGCCTGTGACATCAGCCTTTCCTTCGTGGTGAGGACGTTGATCTGTAGCCAAGCTAAACGCCAGGTTCACTTCCGATACTCAGTCGTTGACCGTATGCACCGTTTCCCGATGCGCAAGAGCGAATACAGCCGTCACGAACATCATCTACATTAGAAGGTGAAATCGTGTGGAAAAACTGGGATTCCGCATCTTGCGCAAACTCATATAACTACCTTCGCGGAGGTACCTACTTACGTCAAGGTACGGTGGGAAAGCCAAGGAACCTTGAGGCTTGAGCATGATCCGACTGGGCACCTACCTACAGTGAGGGTGTAGGTCTCCACTCGTCCATGAACGGCGCCCTGTAGCTCCGTGGCTCCGAGCTAGCATTGGAAACTACCTCGATACCTGGAGGTACAATTTAACATTGAACCACCACTTCAATACATCTCATCGGCCATTTCAACTCCCTTCCACTGCGTCCCATCACGTCGGTCAGCCGCCCATCGCTCTTTCCCAAGACCATGTTACGGGAATTGAATGAGTAGCGGTGGCATTGTTTCATTTTACTCCCAAGCATATGTGTCCGCTCACGCCTGACGTTCCTCGTTTGGTGTGATTTTTAGGGAAAGGACTGTAGGTCCGGAGGCTCCTTTGTTCCCGACGTTCATTACTATTCTCAGACTGTACGAGAGCCATTTCACTATCATATTTCTCTTAACCCCGCGAAACCTTGGAATCTCATAGCTGTGAGGGCCATATTTCCATCCAGCGGGCGGCTTTTGAGTCGGGTCCGAGGCGCAACGAGTTGACAATAGATCATTCGTTGCGTGACCTTCAAGCTATCACGATTTTCAGATCTGACAAGTGTACAAGCTCTCCAATCTCTCCCAAGCTCTTTCTACTCTACCTTTCACAGTTGCTATTGGCAATCCAATCCATCACACCCTTCCTGTTCTATCCTGCGTCCTGGCCGAGGTATCTCATCCCCAAGAGAGGCTGCAATGGAGCTTTCCTCGTTGCCTCACAGTCCAACCGAAGACGATGGCAATACTGCTTCATCTCAGGCTGGTGCATTTTCAGACGATGTGAAGTTCTTCACACCAAGGAACAATTGTCTCTCTAATGTCAATACATCCGACCAAGCCGCCATGAGCTTGCAGGGTCAGTCGAGCAGGGACAACAAACGAAAGGCTGCTCATAGCATTGTGGAAGTCACCGATACTAGCCAAGACCTAGGCACATCCAAGAGGCCGAAGTTTGAGGCTATGAGGACCAAGCCACCTCAGTTGCCTGGGGACAGATCACTTCTTCCCTCTGGAATATGGCATCGGGTTTTCGCATTTCTCCCCCCTAGGAGCTTGGGTACCTTGCTACGAGTTAACAAGCTTTTCAACGGGTATCTTGATTCTCACTCCGCTTTCGGCAATACTGCTCTTTACCCGGAAAATGCGAGTCTCTTCAAGCCAATGAAACCAGATACAGTCTGGCAGCATTCAAGGAGATTGCACCATCCCAGAATGCCCTCCCCGCTGGAGAATCGTACTGAACTCGATATGTGGCGGCTATGCTGCACCAAAATTTGTCAATATTGCGGTGTTACAAAGCCGATTGATCAACAACAAGAGAGTTCTGATCCCTGGCGTCCGGGGCCTGGAGTGTGTGGTCTGGCAACTGTATTTGCATTTGGCGTCACCTGTTGCGGTCCCTGTCTTTTGAAACATTCTGTGAAGGTCTGTTTGGTGCTTAAATCTCGTCATTTTTCGTCTCGAAACTAAACGTTCCATAGGAGATCGACCTGTTACTTTCTTCCACAATCCCATCATCCCTCATCCCAGCACTCGCCTCTGTCTTCGTCACACCCGAACTGCAGGCCATTCCATCGAGCACCTTGGAAACCAACGTGGGCGATAACAAGCTGGAGACTACAAAATTATACTCAACCTCCAGCATCACTGCCGCCAAGGAACAGCTAAACGTGGTTCAGAGCCTTGGGACAGCAGCCGTCGAAGAGTGGCTCAAAGGACTAGGCGCCCAGGGTAAAGAGCTCAGAATTGATGCATCAAGATGGGAGAAGTGGGCCGCGGCTGGCGGTCTGGCGCAAATGTGCCGGAGCGTGCAAACTATGGGAAACGGCAGTAATGATGGACTGCCGCAAGACCAAGACCACGAACCACGAACCTCCTCTCAAACTTCTTTAGAGGACCGAGATTCTGAAGGCCGCAGAAGGTCAGATAAGACCCACGAAGAGGCTGCCGCGCGGAAAGCATTACGGCGTGCTGAAATCGAGCGGCGCGCAATGTTACTCGACCCTCCTCTGCCACCCAACGTTGTTGTTCACATGCCTTCCTTTCAAGCAGCCATACAAATCACGGCCGCCTTGGACGAGAATGCGTGGAATACGCTGAAGCCCAGATTGCTGTCTCAACGAGCCGATGCCGAGAGGAACGTCAACAGGGGTCTTACTGAATCTCGGAGCTCCAGCATTGAAACGAAGGTCGAGACAACAAGAGAAGTGACAGATCAAGACTGGGATGATATCCAAGGTCCGGTACGAGCGCGAATGTCAAAATATGCCGACGAGATCATCCGCGGTAGCTGGAACAAGGGTCGCAAAGTCAACAAGGAGAATAGCCCACGTTTTGCAGTAGGGGTACTCCTATCCGTGCGGTCAAGATTTTACGCCGATGTTGCGAAAGACACTGCGGATGCTATCGCAGCTGGGCGGCAGCCTGTTGTTGATCCCCAAGGTGGCCCTTTTACACAGAAGCTCACTCTGGAGAACATGAAGTGGGTATTTGATATGAAGATCAAACAGCATACCGAGCCGTATAGGAAGGAGTTGTTTCTTTGCAATGGTTGCGAAAGTCATAGGTTCTACGGGTTCGAGGGGGTCATACAACACTATGCCGCAAAGCATACCAAAGCCCTCAGTCTCGGCAACATCGTTGTTCACTGGAGAGCTGAATGGCCGGAGCAGCCCATATTCAAACCCAACGGCCGATCGACCAAAGGTTCTCAGCAAGCCGCAGGAAAGGGAACCGCCCAAGGTCATGCGGCAACAGGACCCCGGCCACCTCAAGGTCATGATACTCCTAGTCGGAGTGGCAGTCTCCTGCCTAGCCATGTGCACCGTTTTCCTTCGGACCAAGTTCCACCCCTTTCCTATCACGCACCACAAGCTGCTCCGTACAATGCATTGCCAACATACAGTACGGATGCCAGGATACCGCGTGCGCCCTACCTACCGCCGAACTTTGGGCTGTCTGGCGCCCCTCAATTTCACCCTGTGGCATCTTCTAGCTTTGGACCTATACCTCCTGGCCCCCAAGAGCAACCTCGGAACATGCTAGAGGCACCATATAGTGCGCAACCGCATAGCACTTTTCCACATCAAGGCAATTTTCAGCCACCGTCTGCTACACCTCAAGGAATGCCCTTTGCGTCATCGTACACCACTCAGTTGGAAAACTTGGCTCGGATAGCGAGAGACATTTGGAACTCGCTTAGCACAACCAGGGATTTACCTGGGCCTTTGAGAGTATACATCACTATACACCATGTGGTCAAACGTTTCTGGCAAAAATTTGGCGAGACTCCCTCGTTGCGGATGTTTAACGATGGCTTATCAAACAACAAGGCTATGCGTCCAGTTCGCAATATCAATGGACTGAGGTGCAGATCCTGTACATTGGGTCTAGGGCCACCAGTCAATCCAGAACGCACCATGTTCTCGCTCCCGCAGCTCGTCAATCACTTCGAAAACCAACATGCCGGATTGCAGCAGGTCGGGCTCAGGAGTGAGCCAGGCCTCGATTGGACTCAAGACATGATCCTAATGCCGGATGTATCAGAAATTCCTGACTTGAAAGCCATTATTGGCGGCAAGGGACACAAGTTCAACCTCGTCAACGAAGCAGTCCCCTGGGTCTTCAATAGGCCCAACGGACCTACACAACAATCTGTGGCCGCATGGCCTTTGGGCGGGGTGGTACAGCCCAGCGATTCAGGTCGGACCACGGATGATATTTGGCACACATATGCTACGCATGCAGATGCTTCCAGTCATGAACGCAACCCCTGGCATGGTCCTGGAGCCATTCGAGAACCACCGATCGGGGGTCAAGAGCAACAACGCCGAGACACGCAGCCGTCAACGGAAGATTATAATCGAAGATCCGCAGCACTCCCGTATAAGCCACTGGTCCCTCCTCATGAAGCACGCGAACCAGGACGCACCCTTCGGGCCTCACACATTGACCCTTGCCGACAAAGCTCTTGGGGCGCTTCTCCGACAGAGTTTGATCGTGAGGGTCGCACCATTTACTTTGACAGTGGACATCCTGCAGGTGGCAACAAAACAGATCATTACATGCCGTCAGGCTACTCCCCAAACCGTACCTCAGCATTGCCCGACGAAAATTGCCACGGGTACCGTGAGCCAAGTCGAGCCCCTGATCGAGCTCTGGTCGAATCTCGGTATGGGCATGGTAGTAGATACCCCGTAGAGGAGGAAGAGAGAGTCATTCGTACGTTGGATCAGTCGAGGTTGGTTCGGTCACGCCCATTGCTTGACCGGGAGCAACTGTTACCGCAGGACACAAGGCCTGGCTCAGCAAGATGTGCCCCAGTAATTCCTCATTCTTCCAGGGCTGCTGAGTTAGATTCTACACGTTCATCAGCGGGGGATCCCGATGACTTTAGCTTGACTGCGGCTCTCGAGTCACATCTTGCTCAAGATCGTGACGCGCTGGCTCGGGTACCCAAGGCTGGGCTGCTAGAGCGCGAGATAGTTCGTCAAGAGCGCCGTTCCACAGCGCGCGACGGCCCTCCATCGGACTTTCCCAATTACCCTAAACGACGACGCATGGAAGTAGAAGTTTTCGATGACGCTCGCCATGGACACTCCACGCAATACATCGCAGAGTCGCATGGATCCCGTCACACCGGACATGCTTCTGAGGTGTCGACGTACTACCACAGCCCAGCGGTCACTCAAAATTCAGGTCGTAGCAGCGACAACCGCAGCGCAACGCGCTGTGCGAGCGCGACTCGCCCTCAGTCTGCAGATTATGAGGAGACTTATGAAATTGTACATGTACGAGATGCAGAGGGAGAGTACATCGTTCGTCGGCCGATTCTACGAGAGCGAGAAACGCATCGGGTTTTGTACGAGGATGACACTCATCACCATCAGAACAGAGGATCATACTCACACCGTGGTCACGATACTCTGTACGACTCGATGGACCGGACCCCTATTCCTGGCGAGCGACGAGATGACTTCCAAATGCGCGAAGCTTGCACTGCAGGAGCCCAATATACCATTGCTCCATCATCGTATGCAGAATATGACCCAGACAACCTAGCGTCCATGTCGGATCCCTGCGCGAAAAGACCATCAGAGTACTAGCTAGACATTGTACCTCTTTAATGGGATAGGAATAGCATAACACAGTAGTCAAATGCAGCCGAATAGCACCATGCTCTACTTTATCTTCCTCGTATCCAAATCTATTTTCATGTCCGAAAAAGCTGAGCATCAAGCCTGACTCCGTGTGATTGCAACGGACAAATGGGCAAGGAATGTGTACGCGTGAGGCGAATCTCTCCAGATTAGCATTCACATTCTCTGGGTGCATTGCAACATACCCATAGCTGAATATTAGTCTGACTTTATTGAAGTTGAGGATCTTCTATTACACACTTCTTCGACACAACAAGGTACATGATAGGCACCCCGCAGACTGAGATGAGGTACAGCACAACGATCATGGCATCGTTTCTCAGACATCCATGAGCCTTTTCCATCGGAAACGCCCCCCTGACGTAGACCTCGCCTTTTATCCGCCTGACAAACCCGAGAGTGTATATCCGTTTGCGCGACACACACAGAGGTAGGAAGTGGGGAATAAAGAAAGAGAAAAGGAGATAGGGAGAGGCAGAGAGTTACAGAGAGATAGAGAGGGCGTTAATGCAAACATGTGGCGCCAGTTTCGCCAATATCTGTTTCTCCTTTTCCAACACGTATCTATAACACTTCACCGATGATCTTGGCCGCCTCCCTGTACGTCTGGAGCAGCTTCTCGCACTTCTCACGCTCCTTCTTGACACCGTCGTCTTCGTACAGAAGCTCCTCAAAAAGCGCCTCCTTGTAAAGCTCGCTGACAAGTCGGTTCTGAACTACATCCTTGCAGTGGTTCACCAACAGGTGCATGACAGCCTTGGGAACTTGATCCGCAATCGACTCGCGCACGATGTTGAAGTAGGAAGAGATAAGTGCTCGGATAAGCTCTGTCTCCATGGCTTCCCGTTCTGTCATGGCTGGCTCGCCACTAGCCGTACCCTGGAGATTGAATTAATACTCATTAATGAGAGATAAGGAAGAGAGAAACCTACGAAGAGGGAGCCGTAATCTATGGATTGCTGAGGCTTGCCGAATTCCAGCTCGTCCCGGGACGAAGCTTGTGCTGGAGCACGTAAAGCCACTTTGTCTTCAGCTCGCCGGATGCTCTGTGAAAATGTGGGCTCAGAGCTCTGGCTAACGTGCCGAGCGATGGAGGAGTTGGGCGATGATGCTGCTCCAATCGCAGAAGCACCGTCCTTGCCGAAGAAGTAGGTCAAGAAAGAGTCGCGCGCGCCGCCCAGGCCCTTATCATTGAATCTTGACGGAGAAGCTGACCTTGCTCCGTTGAGTGCCGCATTCAGACCGGTGGTGCCATTTTCCCGTACGCTAGGTGACAAGCTGCGCGCGCCCTTAGTTGCCTGCTTCCGAAGAGAATTCGATTCGGCCTTTTCGATGATGGCCGGCTCTTCCTCCTCGCCCTCGGGGCCTTCGGTGCCATTGGCGCCCAACTCCTTGAGACGCCTCTTCTCCCGTCTTTCCCGTTCTTCCTGAATCAAACGCTTTCGCTCCCTCTCCTGTTTATTGCTGACAACGTGACTCATGGCAGCGGCGGCACCCAGGAAGTTGGGATGGTTAGTGTTGATGTACGCTCTTTGGATCGAAATCAAAGACTCGACATAACCGGAGGTCGGCCCTAAGCGTTCTCGCAGCAAGTCTGACACGACCTCAATCAGCTTAGCTTGCAGTCTTGGGTATCGAGACAGCTCAGTTGAGCCGCAGGTGTGACAAATCTTGATGAGCTCCTCGTAAACAAGCTCTACACATCGCTGACTAGGAATCTCGAGAAGCTTGATCTGAGGCTTGACGAGAAGGTCAAAGGCCATTTCGGGTACGAAAAGACTGGGACGGGGACCGGTGGAATTGCGAATGGCTGTTCTAATATCAAGGGCCGAAAGATTTGAAGTTGGGTCGATGGATTCTAGCGACATGCCAAAGACGGAGTTGAAGATGTAGTAGATACGAGCGCCGCCGCAAAGCTCCTTAGTCGATATTTCAGTCGACGTACCGTCAATGGATGAGATGAATGACGTGGCAAAGCGTGTCATTTGCTGCAAGATGAGGGATCCACGGTGCTCCTTGCCGCTAAAGTGCATATCGCCATAGCTTGCCAGTTCCTGTTGGGTCTGCCCCATGAGAGTGTTGAGGCGAGCTTTGATATCCGGCATGCGCTCGCGAATGTGAGCCATCAGAGTTGTATTCAGCGTCTTGGCCAGATATTGAGTGCCGCATCGACTAGCAATGTTCCGGTAGGCGGGGTGGTGTCTGAAGAACTCAGACTCGGCCTTGAGAGCCTCCTCCATGGGCTTGGCGCCCTGAATGTCCTGTTGAGAGCGGTTGACAACACCGATGAACCCAAGTTTCAAAGGGTACACGCGGCCAGATAGGATATCCAACGCGTTCGTACCATGATCCATGAGATCCACCTTGGTAAGCACGCCAATCGTCCTCCTACCAAGAGGGTCGACATGTCGTGCGAGTTTAAGAGCCTCCGAGTTCACAATATCAACATTGGCAGGAGATACGGCAAGGACGATACTGTTCGGCTTGGCAATGTACTCGGAGATCAGGTTCCGCGTCTGCTTTTCGATGTCTGTAGGTTGATCGCCAATAGGAACCTAAGAGCTTGTGTTAGAGTATGCCAGGCGTTTGACGCTGAGCACTGAGAAAGGCAAGTATGGTGGCATACCTTTGTGAGGCCGGGAAGATCAACAAGTGTCAAGTTGAGCACATGTGGGGAGTAGATTTTAAGGTTGATGGGCTGTCTGTTGATTCCCTTGTTGTTGCCCGCCACTCGTGCTGTTTCGTTCTCGATTTCGCGCTTTACATCCGAAAAGTCATTGAAGCGGCGGTTCGGGATATGGTGGAACTCGGCCCATTCGGATCGTCTGGCAAGGTCGGGGGACCTGTAGGGGTCGGAGGAAGGGTCGAGGGCACTCTCGTCCTCGGATACGTTGATGAGTTGCAGGATCAGGGGTCGTCGAGTACAAATGCCACTGCCGCGGGGCAGAAAATCACGACCGACAATGTTTTCGAGGACGGAGGACTTTCCGGCTGACTGCGAACCAACTACGACCTGCTCAAATGTCAGCGATTGGGCGTCTAGGTAGTTAATGCACCATGACAAGACGACATACAATCTGGGGGAGATCGAGCGAGTCACTGCCAATAGTATTGAAGACCAAGTCTTGCAATTTGTTGACAGTGCCGAGAAGGTCGTCTCCGAGGGACGCCATGGTGATTGGGTGACGCTAGGAGGTAGAAACTCCCACAAAATCGGGTTGGAAGAGGTGGTGGTGGTGAGGAGTGAAGCACTCGTGGATGTCGAGGAGAGCTTCGGGAGGCGAAATGGTGGAAGCTCCTTCACACGGCGAAAGGCCAGGCCGAACGGGGAATCTGCAGCGCAGGGCGACGCAAAACAAGGCAGGGCACCTAGTGCAGGTGAAGGGAGCAAGCGCAGGCTCGTCGGGAGTGGTCGGCTGCCTCTGGAGGTTGAGGGCGAGGCAGAAGATGAAGAAAATACAAAACTGAGAACGAAGCCCCTTCAGGCGAGATGGAATTTTTGGGCGAAGGGGGGCTTTACTTGAGCCGATGCGCGTAGATGCTCTCCGGCGTGTCGTTCAATTTCGAGAATTCATGCGCGATCCACCATGTCGCCTACGCAGAAAGCTCCGACAAACGACAAGGCACGTAATGCTTAGGTTGGTACAGTGGAGGAGAATGGTTCCTAGTATTAGCTAATACACATCCATGGATCCGCTAGTCCCTGACACCTCAGGCTCGGTTACATCACTATCAGGACCTACTCTGTATGAGCCAGCAGATTACAAAGTAAGCTAATTCAGAGGGTGAGGAAAACAATGATTGCGACGAGGCTTTTCCCAGGAAGATGAAGCGAGAGATATCTTCCATGGCCTTTTACCCCCCTTTCTATCGCGAAAGGGCTTTGGCTTTTTTTTGACCTTTTCTTCCTCCCTGGATTCGTATACAGGTACCTTAGCTCGCGGTTTTACCGGTGCGCGCACTGGCGAGTGTTTAAAAGTCATCAACTGGCTATGGACGGACCGAAAGTTTTCTATCTGCCGCAATCTTCCAGTAGTGATACCAGATAGAAGAGAAGACCTACCTACCTTACTGAAATTTGATTCTGAGATATGTACCTAGTCGTACGCCTTCGCCCCTCAGCTACCTACTGTAGATTGCGTAGCTCGTTAGTTACCTTGGGCGAGGGGTTTTCTCGAGGCACTTAGTGACAGGTGCTCTGAAAAAGCCATAGCGTCCCGTCGTAGACTCTTGGGTGTCACTGGGTGCCAAGGAGACTTTAGGTTGTCTGTACCGATGTTGGTACCTCAGGTACCTGACAGAATCGACCAATATCGTTCCACACGCTTTTGTCGGTCCTCCTTCTACGTAGCCAATGATTCCACTACAGGGCCAGCGCATGTGAGCCTTTCCGCAACTTGAGCAAAAGAGGCAATCGAGAACCTCATACGTGAGGTAGACGATACAAGCGTTGGATACCTGCCAAGGTAAGTCAAGCTGCGGCGCCATTCTACCCGAGCTCCGGACACTCAGATTTCTCACCCTCAATGCCCAGGCTCAGATATAGATATCCAGGCACAGCAACTTCTTCACATCAACACAGCAGCAGCTTCGCAGGACAACCTATCAGCTAGAACTTTGTTGAATCATTTGTCGTTATCGAATCCCACCCGCATCATCTTTACCATGAGTCAACTTGGTGGTCCAGGTTCTCGACAAGCCAATGCCAAGCCTATTCCGTTCGTACCTGACCCGGCCCTTCTTCACAACAGCCAATGCAATATGTAAGGTGGTGCGGTGCAGGCTAACGTGTGACTACCATTTGTTTTGTTACTCAGTCCCCAACGTGGCAGTTTCCCACTTGATCATGACGGTGAGTTGCGAAATATGTGCCCCAATCCATTGCGTCTTTGAGGTCCTTGGCCTACTAATGCGCACCTGATCAGGCGAATGCAAGCATGTTATAGCTACTTATCTCGAGTGCATCAAGAAAGTACGAGGAGTGAACGACGCTGAATGCCGCGACCTTGCTAAATCCTACCTTGCATGTCGGATGGATCGGTAAGTCTACTTTTCACTATGCGACTGTGGACGAAACGATGGACGACATTCTGACTACTGTTAACTTTGGCCTCAGAAATCTCATGGCCAAGGACGAGTTCAGAAATCTAGGCTTCGACAATGGACCGAAACCAGCAAACGAACCAAACGGTCTGGCTTTAAGCCAAGCTCAAGCCCAGGGAAATACTGGCAAGGACAAGGACGCAAAGCCCGGCGAATTGCGATGGTAATATGACGGGTCCTTGGAGGCTCTTCAGCTGATAACTCCCCTACATGTACATTATTCACGGAATTCATACCAAGGGGGCATTTGTTTGCATTGCAACGAACTTGCGGGGGTGGTCGACGACGTGGCTGCTTGACAACGCAGATGTGTAAGAAATTGTCAATATTTGAGCCATTATGCGCAGCAAAGAAAGTCATGCACTCTAACAACGGACCCAGTAGCATCGCGCTGGGGGCGTCGCCCTGTGCATGGTACAGCCCCAGGCAAGGGACGGCATATTTGTTTACAGTGGCTGCACTATTACTTACTTTGGTCTTAGGCACTACTTACTTAAGTTACTTTTGTTACTTTTGACCCAGACCGACGCGCTTGCTTTTGGGGCAAATTGGTCAGGACATGCTGAATTGCCCAAAATCTCAATTCTCAGATATGTATGGAGTAAGGTAGGTAGGTATGCAGCTATCTGATAGTGATGGGGCACATTGGCGTATACAGCCACCTGAGGGCTATGTGGTATACAAAACATGAGACATAACGTACCTTCAGCATGGAAAAGATGCTCACAAATCGGGGCACTTAACAGAGGGAAAGTGGTTCCTTTCAAAGAAGTCGACGCAAGATCACGGGCATTAGCCATCATTTGAAGGCGTCTGCCACTGTGGAGCTGTTATTGTGGTTGTCTCCCTGAGAAGTGCTGGGAACATGCACGGCGCGAGGGGCTAACCTGGAAGGGCATCAGGTCACACTGCACTGAGGTGACTCTCTCAAGTACCGGGTGTGTCCCCGACGACGGCACAGAGCCCCCTGCGTACCTAGGTAGTGTAGCCGGGCAGGTCAACTTAAGCTCACCCAACCCCGTCGGCCTCGATGTTTCGTTGTCGCAGAAGGGAGAGTCATCGTTGCCCTGACAACATCCCACGCCAAATACCTTCCCTTACCTTAGCTACGACTGGATGGCTCAAGTATAACTTCATCGCCATCAATCGGAAAACCCCTCCCTCAGAGTGTCACTAAGAGACTCAGTCTTGCCCTTTCATTCATAAGTAGATGCATCATCGTCATCTATACATCCATAGCCAAGCGAATCCACTTAACCTTCACCGCATGTTCCCCAGGCACCGCATCAATCTTCACCCTGTTCCCACTACCTACTGCCCACCGCCACCACCATTCCCTGTCTCCACTGCTTGATCGACGACGTGCTCGCCGCACGCCAGCTCTCCATCATGCATCGCAGAAAGAGCACTGAGAAGACGAGAAAGGTGACTCCTCCATCGCCAAGCTACATGAATAACGAACAATTCGGTGAGAAATGCTTCTGTGTGCTTCTCTCTTCCTGGCTGTCGTGATAGCTAATCCCAACTTCTTAGCTGCCTACTTGGCAAACCTCCGATCCAACAGAGTCGCCCGCCCCGGCGGAGCAAGGCCTCTGCCGCCTTCCTCTTCAAGTATCAGATCAAAACGCCCTTCAATCGAACATAGCGTTTCCGAGCCCCTTCCTCGAAGCGAAAGTCCTGCACTCTCCACTCCAGGTTCTATCAACCTACCATCGCAACCGCACCCCCCTTCTGTAAACGCCAGTGTATCATCCCGTCATTCCATTCCGAGCACCCAAGGACGGGAGTATCAACCTTACCGCCCAACATCACCTCTGAAGCCTTCTCAGGTGGTGCCGACTGCCACCTACATGGAAAGAGGACAGCGATGGATGGAAAAGGAAGAGGCCGTGTCACTTCGACATGCCATGGAAGACATGTCCATTAAGAACGGCGAACAACCCGTCGAGAATGAAGCCGCGGAGACGCCAGACGACGAAACACGTATCTATAATGCTGCACTCGACGAGGCCTCAGAATTGGTCTGGCGGCATCAGAATGGAGTTCGCCCTCCTGACAAGGACGCCCCGTATCGGTACAAGCCTCACCTCAGAAAGAACAGTTATGCTCATGCTCGCACCGCAAGCGTGGGCAAACATGCCGACGGCGCCCATCCATCCGGCCTCGCTAGGGACAAGTCCAGGTCAGTTTCTGGCAGCTCTACCGACAGCGATGGTCACTCTCGGCGAAGTCGACCTTCCCTGGCTTTGTCACGGAATAGCGTTGGGGAGGAGAGTCAGAGTCCCGAGCGGCCTTCGATAGACTTGGGAACTTCAGGGCCAACCGGTGCCCGACCCCTTCCGAAACCCAGGGGCTCAGGGCAGCGTCGCAGCAGTATGAAGCGGAACATCAGCGGCGAAGTTCAAAGGCCTTTTTCCGGTGATCAGATTTGGGAAGAGCCAGAAGCCAATGCCCGGGAAGACAAGGCCAAGACGAAGCCAGCGTCGGCAGCAGACTTACCTCTGGTGGACAAACCAGAGAACCCCCAGAATCAAGTCCGATTTGCTACAAACTCACAGGCGGACCGCGTTGGACCCTGGAAACCCAGGTGCAATGTCGAGATTCAACGGAACCCACCGTCTCAGTCGCGCAACCCACAGTACACCACCAACACTTCGGTTCCGAAGCCTGTGGTGGACGACCAGATCCCCAAGAAGAACGGCATGGAGATACGCAGTGAAGATATCCGAGGGGCCACAAGTATGAAGTTGAAGGACCGCAGCGCGAAGTTGCCTACGCCCACGGCTGTCAGTGATCGCCCTGGTCGGCCGATTGTAAGCTTCGACTCGAAGTGGAAGGCTCCAGACGAGAGAACTGATGCTAGGCCAGGAGCCGCGAGCCAAAACAGCCAGCCGATGGAAATTCCTTCTATCGTGGTGGCGTCGGAGGAGCCTCCGTCGGACAGAGCACGCAGCAACCCGATCGTTCCGGTCATAAATATTGACGGGACGGATGAGCCACCTGGTTCTAATCCTGGTGTTCCTTTCATAGTTACCCCCGACGACGATGAATCTTCGAATCCGAAGCCGCGGCCCTTGCCTGACCCCAAGACAGCATCCAGAGGCCACCCTTTCCGGCGCCCGCAACGTCACTGGTCACCAGCTCCTGCCACCAGCAAACACTCAACCGCTTTGTGTCACGAATGCGCATTCCCAATTGAAGGTAGATTCGTCGCTCTGGGCGGATCCTCAGAGCGCTTCCATCCCCAGTGCTTCAGCTGCTTTGCTTGTGGTACTGGTCTGGAAGCCTTGGAGATTAGTCCAGAGCCAGAAGCTCACCGCCAAGAGCGCCTTGACAGAATTCAACGTCGCGCCGATGGCGAGGTGTTGGAAGAAACGCCAGGCAAGACCATGGCCGAAGACGGCGACGAGCGCCTACGTTTCTTCTGTCATCTTGATTGGCACGAACTTTACGCACCGAGATGCAAACACTGCAAGACACCCATTCTCGGGGAGCACGTTGTCGCTCTGGGAGAGCATTGGCATTACGGGCACTTCTTTTGCGCGGAATGCGGCGATCCATTCGAGAAAGGCATGACTCATATCGAAAAGGACGGGTATGCGTGGTGTGTCAACTGTCAGACAAAGAGGACGGAGAGAAGGGCGCCCAAGTGCAAGAAGTGCAAGACTGCTGTCATCGGACAATACATTCGGGCGCTGGGCGGTGAGTGGCATGACGAGTGTTTCCGCTGCGCTTCTTGCCAGGGCGGTTTCGACGACGGCCAAATTTTTCCTAAAGAGGTTGGTGACAGGGTGATGGTGCTATGCACAGGATGCCGCATGATAGAACTTAAGGCATAACGATGTAAACGAGCAGAATGTAGAATTGGGCGTTATTTTGAGTTGTCTAGGATAGGAGTTAGAGTCAAGGAATAGGGCAAGCGTTTGCGCTTTTGTTGTCGATTGGCATTCGGTGTTGTTTTAAGCTTGAGCAATAGCATAGCGTTTGACTGGACAAGGTACTTAAAGGGGAAAAGGTGAACAAAATAATGTGGTAAAAGTCATAATCGTCATTGACTGTCTTCATATGGCCCTATTAGGAGAATCCGTTGCATCCATGTACGCCATTTGCGACAGCCGAGGCCTTCTCAAGAAGCAAGAAATCCATCGCTCCTTCGACTACTCCCACCATGTATTTTCCCGTTATTCTTGCCTCCATTTGACTACAAGGAACCGCCGACCTGCTCCTGGTGCACCTCGAGAGTGTCTCCATCTGCCATCTCGAGCTGATAGTGCCACTCGCATTAGTATTGCATACAATGTCGGAGGCAGCCGCGTCGCCAACGCTTACCGTGTCTGGGGTATCCGTGGGTTGAACACGCTGACCCTCGAAGAGGAATCGGACAGAGTTCATAGCCTTGCCTTGTCTCTCGCAGAAGGCCGTCATAAGCTTGTCCAGCTTGGTAGAGCGCTTGATCTTGAAGAAGACCTCATTGTTGTTGTCGGTAACCTTGATGTTCAGGTGCTCGACGGCGGGCGGGGCATCTTGACCGCCAGCAGACGGGCTTCCGTTCTCGTGTTCGCCAGACATTTCGTGACTATCGCTGACAAGGTGAAAGTCAGCAACGGCACAAGACTGTCGTGGGTCGTTTGGACCTTGGAGGGGTCAACGGAAGTGGATTGATAGAGGTCGAAGCATGGATGGAATGCTGACGGGTTGGTGTCCACCTACTTTGCGCTGCAGGGCGTATTCGCGATAGTGTGAGAGATCGCACGCGTGTGGCTGTAGAACTTCAAGAGTTGGGCTTGTGAAGAGCGCGGGAAAAGAAGCACGCGATGTTGTGCAGAAGGTGACTTGTAGAGTTGACGAAAGGCGGAAGGTGGGGAGCGGTAGTGGGAGGCGCATCTGAGTCCGAAAGACAGGCGCTCTAGGTACCTACAGAGGTCGGCAGAGACATTGGGTGGAAGTGGGATGGAAGGCGGTTGATTGGACAAAGTGGAGCCTAGATTTTCTAAGGCTTACCTTAGGTAGAACACCTTCCCACCCCAGATGTCGCCTGCCTAAGCCTCAAGGTGATAGTGGAATGTAAGCCAGATACCTTCTTTCCTACCTACACCACCACCTCGATTTAGGTACCTTACCTTACTTTCCATCTGAATATTTGCCCCTTCCCAAAATTTCGTGGAACACGTACACGTAGGTATTTGAGCACACCTTTCTAGTCTCCCGTTGTTGCATGATTTAGGTGCTCTATCATTAATAAGCATGTTCAAGAAACAATCACGAGGTTGAGCCTCAATGCCTATAGCTGGCTCTTTGCTAACATATTCATTGTCCACCAGGACCGCTCGCAACTTCGACGTTTGGCCTTGAGCAACGCTGCCGTTACCGATCGTCATGGTAGACTCTCCGACACCGCGCCGTGTTACGATGTAGCTGCTGACAATCCAATGCAAGGGCCAGAATGAGGACCTGAAGGCGAATCCGCCGTGCCAGCCTCGTGCTGTAAGCCCATCATCCAACCCATGAATCAACTTAACAGACCCGGCGCTGACCTAGTTCCGCGCAGTGCGCTATTCAGGGTAGGTCTTCATCATGCACTTCTCCATGGCTTCGTTACGATTCAAATACCAGGTGTGAGGCTGAGTCGGCATTATCATAGCTAACTTGGGCTCGCAGATTGCTTAACAAAAAACGGGTACAAGGAGGAGAAGTGCCAGTCGGTGATTTTGGCCTTGTACGAATGCTGCGAGGCTTTTTACCAGTCAAAAGGAGACAGCGCTACGTCGGCGAGCTGCCCCAAGCCAGATCTGCTTCGACTGAAACTGTCGAGAATACGTGAGGAGTCGCGCGAGGCCGCTTCCCAGAAGTAGCTATTGGGATGCTGAAATGTACACTCTTCCATAGATATACGTTAACCCGAGTAGAGAAATCTGGCAACATTTAAGAAAGAGAGAATTCTTCTAGGCATTCGTTGAGCGCGCTGAGAGACCCCGTAGGATCTGAACAAGCATTGAGTGCTTATTCCGAGACTCTAATACAAAAGCCTTGACATTGAAGAAGGAAAGAGAGAGAAACTTCAAAGAAAATTTCCAACTGTGTGTGTTGATAAAGGCTGCTAAAGCGGGTCCATACTGTGTTTTTACGTATATTTACACAGTCGATTTCTGATCTGTTCAAGGCATAGATCTAGAGTATGCACACAGTGTTCACTCTTGCCTAAAGTTTTGGCGCGACGCGCGCATCTAGGTACTGTGTGCACGGGCCAGCTAGGCGCTAAGGTAGCCTGCCTTTCGCCTGGGACGTCTGTCGCTCCCGGCGCCGCAAGGTGAGGTACCTTACCTTAGACGCCTCATTGAGCTGCCAGCTGGTTTGTTTTCATGATTTTTTTTCCCGGTAGGGTGGGAGGTCTGATCAACTATCCCAATCCCACTATTCGAGTCTGTTCCTCCAGCCTATTTCCTATTTCCTCTATCCTCAGAGTCGCTACGTGGGAATTCCTTCAATCTTGTCGAGGGCCTGGGAAAGTTTCTGCGCGCAAGAGCTTCTTAGGTTGCAACTAGTTACATCTTTGGCGCTGCAAAGCACCTTGCAAAGTCATTCACACCGCAGCATCCATGACTTGATATCTCCCCGGCCTAGAAACACAGACGCCCACAATCATTGACAGATTGTAAGCAGACGAGTCACTGCATAGTCTCACTTTGTTCGCAAGTCCTGTTTTGGCTAATCACCACCCACTAGGATCGCATCGGGACTCCATATTTACCCTGGTCCCATGCGCAACCTTGCCGACGACCAAAGATCGATCATTCCACATTGAAGTTAACGAGGCGACCGGATACCTTCTGTTCCTTGTGCGCAAACTTCCGATCTGTATTTTCCTAGATCTCGTTTCCTTCGACAACGATTGCATTCCCGAAAATGGACGGAATCGGGCCCGAAGTTGAGGTGTTCGCGAACATTCTGGACGATTGCCTGGCGAACCAAGGCACCGATGAGGACAAACGCGCAAGGGTCTTGGGACTCGTAGACGCATACCACGATTATGCCGTCGAAAAGCTGTCGCAGCTGCGCAAGCCACGCCGTCAGGGCTCAATTGGCGATAATGAGATGGACCTGGACGATGAAGAAGAGGCAGAGGCTGCGGCAGATTCAGAAGAGATTCGAGTATGGGAGCAGGAAAGACAGACATGGGATCTCGTTCGTCGCCTTATCCCGCTGAGATATTCTGTTCGATCCTCGACGAACCAGGAAGCTACGTACAATGGAGAAGATTTGTGGAGGGCATTCCTTGCGAGCGACCAGATGGCCACAGAGAGGAAGACCATTCTCGAATGGTTACAACAAGGCGCGAGAGCTGGCCCCGACATCGACGACCTCGTACGAGAGCTCCAGCAAAACGCTGACAGAGGAGACATCATCGCTCACGGTTGGATACACACAAGGTCTGCCATCAAGTTGCAGAAGAGTGTGATTGGTTCTTCACGCCCGCTTGATGTGCATTTTCCGGAGGTCGCACGCTCTCTAGTCAACTCAGACAAGGCGCCACTTGTTGCCGAGCTAGACCCAGACTCTGTGATCAGACAGGGTCGCAAGTTGGAGCCACAGGATGAGTACTTTGAGAGGGCTATCTGGGTAGGCTGCTTCCAACTGCTTCGAAGGGGCTGTGCTTTGGAGACTACGCGGGAGTGGTGCTTGGAGAGGACAGAGGTCTGGAGGGCTGTATCCATGTCCGCCTTACCTCTTGCAAGTGACCATGGCGAGACCACGCTTGTCGACGACCCTTCAGCGCTTACTCTTTGGAGACGCATGTGTTTTGCTCTTGCTCGCCAAGGAGGGACCGATGATATCGAGAGAGCAGTATATGGGGTGTTGTCCGGAGACATCCCCAGCGTGCAAAGAGTATGCCAGACTTGGGACGACTTTATGTTCATGCACTACAACGCTCTGGTTCGCACGCAGTTCGACACTTTCCTACTCAGCCAATGTTCTCCGGAAGCATCGGCAAGCATCCGCTCATCATTCGCTGCTTTTGACGCAGTTCAGTTCCATGGCGATGCCGCCACGTTGGAGCAACGCCTGATCCGCAACCTTGAGACAAGCCCGCACACAAGCAAGGAAGCTCTGGAGCCTATCAAGGCACTACAAGCCGCCATTATCTCCAAAGACCTCCAGCGACATTTCTACGAGCAGGGTGTGGCCATCACACAGAAAGCGAATTCCAAGGAGGCATCTGCGCTCATGCCCGATCACAACTGTCGCAACGTCGACGTAGTGACGGAAAAGTTCGCCGACATCACAAGTCCCGATGGCCTGCGAATTGCTGTCCATGCACTCATCATCTTCGATACGCTTGACAAACTCGGCACTCTGAAAACAAACACCGTAACAATGAGCTCAGATCATGATCGTCGTGAATTGCAAGAGAACACGATTACGCAGTACATTAGCTTGCTCCGACTAGCAGGCTTGGAGGAGTTGATACCACTGTATTGCTCCAGGCTTCACCCATCGAGAGCCTTCCAAGTGTTAAGCACAAACCTACTTCCCATCACCGATAGCGAAGCTCGTCAAGAGCAGCTCACCTTCATTCACAAAGCAGGACTGGACGTGGTGGAATTCGTCAAGGCACAACCACAGTTCTTGTTCCAGACCTTGGACTCCGATACTGCGCAAAACGATGCAATGCGGGAGTTCCAGATCATGGACGATGGCCCGGCGTCCTTGAAGTACGGACGTTCCATCAAAACAGACTTCTTTGGCGAAGATCCCGAATCCATTGACGTGGTCGACGAGCGCTTGATCCGGTCAGTAGAATGGCTGCTTCTAGTCAGCGAGGCCTGGCCCTATGTCTTTTCCCTCGGCGTAGCAATTTACAAGCACTTTCTAAGTATGACCCTGCCTTTTCAAGATAGATGACTCCTGTCAGCTAACTGGAACCCCATCGAACAGAGACCATGCATTTGAATGCCGCCAGAAGCTTCGCAAATCGTGTCCCATTCGACAGCATTCTGCGCATGCGCTTAAGCGACTTCCCTGAACAAGCAGAAGACGAACTCTGGTGGACACAAGATGGAGAATTCTGGGTCAACCAGCTCGAAGGCGCGGGTGCGATGGACCTCTCGCCAAGTCAAGTAGTATCGGACGCCAAGGTCTTGCGCGAACTTGAGTGTCTTGTCAGAGCCTTGGACACAATGGAGACTGTCGCTTCCCTAGCGGAACTGTCAAGAGAGTATGTCAACCTGATCTTTGGCTACAACATCTTGCTAACCACTTGCAGGGACCCGTCTGTCAAACGAGATTTCTGGGCGAAGGTTGGCAATGAGGTCAAAGCGGCCAAAGAACACGTGCGGCCGCTACTGGTTGACTGGCTGGGTGATCAAGGTAATGCGTGCTACTTAACTCACATCTTCCAGATAACTAATCCGCTCGTGACAGAGGATCAAGACTTACAAGCGCTGCGGGAAGCATATCTTCCCGAGACGATCCTCGCTTACGTCAGCACGCTCCATTTCGCCGGCACGACGCTGACGAGGGATAACTTTTTGGAGTGTATGGAGCTGGCGGCCACTATTGCGGAGAAGGGCTCCGATGTGGCAGAGTGCTTCGCCAAAGCTAAGCGAATGAAGGAACTGGTCGAGTGTTTTGCTGCCTGCAGCAAAGCTCTGGCCGTTGCATCGGGCGAGAAAAAGGCGGCCAATTCGAGTAGCAAGAAGCTACGGGAAATGGGGTGGTCACGGGATCTTTGGTCCGTAAAGCACTGAATTGGGCAGTCTACTGGCGAGTCGCAATGTTTGTTAGGAATAAGGAATGGGGATCTGAGGCCTCTACTAGAGATGCGTTACGTCTACATGAGATTCGGCTAGCGCTTGGCTTGCCGCTCACAAAGACTTCGGCTGGGCGTGATATGCCTCGAACACACGAAGGTCATTCAGCTACCAAGTTGATTAATGCAGGGAGGCGATTAATTACATCGAGACTTGCAGACTCACAAATAAAAGAGAATCACAGGAAAAGTCTGTTCAAAAAAACTGCGTATTCGTACCTCTTGAGGCCATGCTTGTGTTGAGTTCCTACTTATAATTGAGTATTCCGTACAGATATGTGGTTATGGAAATGATATCATAATACGCAGATGTGAGCTTAACTATACAAAATGTACAATCCAGTCACAATTCTAGTTTTGATTGGTTAGTTTCATTCATCCGCTGTGGGGGCACCTGACAAGGTCCTTGCTTAACGTTGTGAACCTCCCACCCCTCTGCCTGATGAACCACAGCCGCATTCCGTCTTGTAAACCTACGCCGCCCAACGAACGCTGACATCTCTGTAGTTGGAAGATACCTTGCCTAATACTTTGATTAGCCGACCAAGTGATTCATTGGCCTAAAGATTTTCCTAGGCCTTGAGAACGAGGATCATCTTGTTGTAGTCTTTAATCGGCTGCGTGTTTATGTCCACATCATGCATGATCCTCCACCACCGGTACTCCCACCCAAGCCGGGAAGCCACGACACAAGTCGTATCGGCACGCCGATTATGCTCAACTCGCCCCGGCACGGCAACGGCAACGGCACCGGACCTGATGTGGAGAGTGCAGGTGGGAGCCGTCTGAACCAAGTCTCTCAGCCGGCCGGGCTCGAAATAGCCCGACCTGAGTCTGTGCCTGATCCGGGCGAACATTGGCTTCCCAAGGTGTTGCAAGACAAGGCGTACGTTCCTGGACATGGCAGCGGCATCACCTGCCGTTTGTTGTCTTTCTCCCGGCTGATGGTGGTATTAGAAAACATGACCTCGCTGACGTAGCGACCAACGTGGACCTGCTTAATGCCCTTGCACATGCACCAAGTACGATTCACCCATCTCTCTCGTCGTCTCATCAGGCCCTTCAAGCGGCCTTGACCGAGAACCTTGAGCTCGCGTCACGGCTTGTGGAACTCGAGGCTCGTCTAGCCCACCAGCGCTCCACGACGCAAGCGCAGCTTCTTTCAACACATGCGCTCGAGCGCCAGTGGCGGCAGAAGCAATCCGATATGGACCACGCGTTAGCACCCTTCTCACCGGCTGCCATGTACCAACGTCTAGGGCAAGGTGTCCATGAGCAGGCCTCGGTATGCCATGTCTTGGAGGAGAGCTTCATCGACGGAGAGGGAGATGGCGCGTATGCGTCGGAGAGAGAGACGTTGGACTGGATCAAGAGGTACAGAGACGCCAAGGTGCTTTATTATCTTCGTCAGGAGAGGAAGGAGCGGTGGGACGAAGGTCGCGTTGGTGGCTGGAGATGAAACGAATGCGATTCCAGTATCTGGTTCAGTGGAATGCTAAGTGAAGGTGGGAAAGGAATGAGGCAGCGGGAATCGCAGGAGGTGGTGATCCTCGCGGATTGGAGCTAACCACTCGGCTGCATCGAAAAACGGGAACCAGCACACGAGCACTACATCAATGGCATGCCGGCGGTTCTCTCTGCTGTTTTCTACTGTTGCTTCTCGATGGCGGTATCGGCAACGACAACGCAATGCAAAGGACCACGTCTAGCTAGCAGATATCTGAAAGAAACATTCTATGGAATACCAGAAGGAAAGGAAGTACGCAGGAGCAGTAGCCTACAAACTGAATGATACATGCTGAGTTGGCTAGAAAATAGCTATGACGTGGAACATGAAACTCCTGTTTGTGTCGTTCTGTAGCCCGTCTACGAATGTATGCTTTAGCACCTTCAGCTACTGCTGTCGTCCTCCAGTTTCGCACACACACACGGTATACGTCCAGGGGACATCGCAACCCCCCTGACTAGGATCTGACTCAAAGTCGTTGAGAGTAGAAATGATGTTGGCCCAGAAGCGATCACTATCTTCAAGCGAAGCTGAAGGGACTCCGCTTCATCTCAGGACTGCGGGGGCTCATCGGGAGTGCAAAAAGTTCCTCCTCCTGGTCCTGTTCTTGCTGTCTCGGGTGAAGATCGCCCCCTGCGAGCATGGCGTCTAACGATGCCGAAGCTCCTAGGGACAGGTTGCCAGTAGTCGCCTCCCGGGCAGGGTGCGAGAAGGGGTGAACGGCCATGTCATTGGGGGCGGGCGAGAAAGATACAGGCTGAAGATGCGTGTTCTTGTCTGCGAGTCTCTAGTCAGTTATGCTTGGTTGATATGCTACGCAGGTTATCTTTTGTGAGTCATCTCACCAGCCGAACCAGCAATTAAATCTGCTGCAGAAGTCGTGAGCTTCAGCCCCTTCAGCTTCTCTCCCAGTCGGCTACCGGTCGGGGATTGAGAAGAGATGGGACTCAGTAGAGTTTCTGAGGCAAACATCGTCCGGCCTTCGACGATGTTGTTGGGTTTTGGAACAATACCAAAATGATCGATAACCCATTGCTGCTCCTGGAGCACCATTTCTAAGCCGACGCTTTCGGTATTTGTCATCTTCTCGGCATCGATCTCTTCTTGAAGTTCACGAAGTCTCTTCTTGGCCCAGATGGTGTGAAGAACCCCACGTGGTCCAGTATCTAATTCACTGGCAACCAGGCTTGGCGGGAAGATAGCAGGAAGGGGTTTGATGGTGAGGGATGTACCGCCAGGACGAACAATGGAAACGGTGGGAGGAACATTAGCACCTGGTGGAATTAGGAAGTACACCCGTTTATGCGTTCCTTTGACATCATTGCTTGCTGGAAGATGGTTTGTCTTGCCATCCCAAGAAACCTCCCATGCCTTGGCTGGCGGTGGTGAAAGTTCGGATGCCGGCGAGGAGGAAGAAGGCGATATCGAGGGATCCCATTCTACCATTAAGACCTTGGTGCCTTCATTACCCTTGCCTGTCTCAAACTCGAACCGGGCAAGGGCAAAAGGCGCAGTGTCGGCGGCAGCATCGGGATTGGTGCTTGTTGTTGGACCGGGAAGTTGCACTTCAATCGACGCCACTCGCGGTGGCGATGAAGCCCGAGAACTACCCGGCGTTCCCATCTCTTCGTCTCCTTCCGGTCCTGACCCTATTGTGGTCCGGTGTGAGGTGGGTTTTGCGGACACGACGCGGTGCGGGGCCGGGCGTTTTGCGGCCTGCTCAAGTACCGAGGCGCGTTAAAGACTCAAACTACCCATGCATAGCGTACTCTCCCCGTCAGCACCGGACAGGAAAAGCAGAACGTATTATCGGCCAGTGCAAACAATCCGGCCGAGTCTATCGTGACAATTCTTTGCAGCGATTGAGCCGTGGTATGGGTTCTAGGTGGTTCACCGACAATGAAGTCTGGTCTCCGGCAAAGACAAATGGTTCGAGACGAAAGAGAAGAATGAGGTATTTCGCACTGGTGAAGATAAATCGGCACCAACCAATGACTAAGATGAGCTTAAAGGAGGAAGTACCCAGACTTGGCGATGAGTGGGATGCGGAGACGGAGACAGAGATGGATGGAATCCAATCAGGTCCGGGCCGTTGTGGCTGAGGAGATTGACGCCACGCGCGCGAAAGAGGAATTTTTTATTACTTGTGAAGATACACATGCATAGAGCATCACTTAATTCCCGGTTATACAATCGAGCCGCCTTCAACTACAGTGTAGGTGATATGGCGGGAAACGAATCGCGAATCAACGTTGAAGCAGGGCCGTATACGTGCCTAGGGCATTCGGGCGTATCGCGGCATTCCAAGATCACTTCGATTGTCAAGGTAATAGTGAACAAGAGAGGTACGGGGGGATAGAAAATTAAGAAAGGGCCTCTGTCTCCCACATCAGTTATGAAAGCGAACAATATGTATTGCCACTCGAGTGGGACGGTTGGCCTTCAGGGCCGTATGGCAGTGTCGCGTGTGGTTGTCAAAGTGTGATACAAACCCGCTACGTAGTAGTTTGTCCTGACTCCTGACCCTGGGCTCTGGAGCAGCTCAAAGAGCGGAGGAAACGCGGAGTAATATGGAGGGAATGGGTCCTGGAGGTGCAAACATTGTGTAAATTTTTCGATAAAGCTGGAGAAGTTTGAGAGGGGGGAGTTGCGACCTGTGACCACGGGCGGGGAGAATCCCACATATCCACGGGGCATTCTCGGCCGATGTCGATGCCATTGCCCGCTAGTGTACATATTCTGGGGGGCTGGCCTGGCCAAGAAATATGGCTTCATGGTCGACTAACATGACGGGATACAGGTCTTCATCTCAAAGGCAGACGCAAGCGATGATGGCGCGCCACCGGGCATGCGGGTTAGGTCGCTCAATTTCTACGAGGCTTACACAAAGAGGTGCGGATCGGAAGTTCTTACCCTTAAGATTGGCTCGGGAACATAGAGACAAGACTCATAAACGTAAGTAGACCTACGGATACAGTCCCGTATCTGTAGGGTAATATACGGATAATGCAGTGCCAAAAGTCGAGGTGCCTTCCTAATCCAGTATTCCGTAGCGCTAGTGACCTGATGACCAACCGGAAGAACGTTATAAAGTGCTAGAACGTCCTTGGTGCTCCAGGACGGAGTATGGCATGGAGCCGGTAAAACGTTACTCGCTAAGGCAGCCACACACTCTCTCTCTCTCTCACACACACGCAAGGGAAGTAGGTAGAGCGGAGCGGGTCACGGATAACGGTACTTACGTAGTAAAGGTAAAGCAATCCACCAACGGCGGCCATGCGGCCGGAAAACGACGTGAAAGGTTGGGGCCTCTGGGGGGGAGATAGGTATCGGCTGTGACGAATGCGGAGGGGAGGCAAGGCCGAAGACTAAGAGCCTAAGAGAACAAAAAGACCGCGGTAGGCCCGAGGGCCGCTCCACCACGCCATCTGGATTTTCTGACGGTACTTACCTTTACAAGTACCTACCTCCGTAACTATCAGCTTGCACCACCAATGGCATCGAGGTGCGTACCTCAGTGCTCACACTTAAGTGACTTACAGCGCTCATGATTGGGCCGAGCCTGACGAGACGTCAAACTGATACCGCGGCACCGTATGTAGCATTTACGGTTTACTTTACTTCCCCGGTATCTGTACACCCCACTGTACCTATCCCCCCCGCTGCATCGAAGGCAGCTTGTCCGTCCGAGACAGCGCCTAGCCAACTTGTGTCGGTTCCATCGCTTCAACTTCGGTCACTTCGGTCCAATCTACCTACCATGTTCCATTTGACCCCATGGGCCATGCTCAAGTTGGCACTGGTAGATGTCGGCTTCGTACGAAGTACACTAAGCTCACGAGGGTCGAGGGGTGCACGGCGATGAGGTGCCAGAAACTACGCAGTATGCAATTATAGTTGCAGTGTGGAACACTATTGAGTTTTTTTTTTTCTTCTTTATCTTCTTGCTCTTCCATGTGTACATGCTTTCAGGATACTCAGCCCTCGAGAGAGGAATGTGAGCAGGGGCAAAACCTCAAGTCATGCAAAAGGTGCGCTCACGACGTACAATTGCAAGATTCCTTGGGTGCTTGGATAGGCTTTGTGCCTTCGACACCTTTCTTACCTGGACCAAATCATTCGCATGGCGAGTTTCTGTGGGCGGTCCATGGTCCGTACCCCGATGTGATTCACTGCTTGCTTTGTGGCGCCCCGCGAAGCCAAGCCACCCGTGTGTAAATGGCGAAGGCGAGAAAATCAATGAGCCTAGATCGGTAGTGTCGGCGATGCCCGCAGCCCACTGGCCTTCTCATTCCTGCCGGCTGCAAATTTTAATACTGCGAGAATGAAATTAAACTTGAGACATGATTGATGAATAGGTAGATGTCAGTACCAGCATGCTCAACATGAACATCGTCTGGTTCACACTGCTTTCTAGCACGCCATGCGATTGATAGATCCGCCGATAGAGAAATGTTTCCAGACTGCCACTGTCTGGTCTACCCACGGAGTAGTGCCGACGGATAGACTTGTCTCCGTTGAAGCGTCAGGTATGGCACTGTCTCGGGCCTATTTGGTAATCGGTCCTGGATCATCGAAGTCGGTCCAAGTAGCTCTAGGGCGGCTGAGACCATGATCCATCAGCAGTACCTTTGGACAGGTGAAGCATCTATCCGTGATAGCATCGAATCGGGCTTTGCAACACGAATGAGCCAATGGAAACAGAGCGAGAGCATCTAGCCGCAGGAGCTCCGTCTCGACCTATGCCGGGCTTCTCTCCTGGATCGTTTGCACGAATGTGGCCGGTACTTCATCGGTGCATACTGTCTAAGGATACTTCTTTGCGCCCGCTGCGCCCGCTGAACCAAAGGTAGCCATGGGCCATCGCGCACTGAACGCGGGACAATGGCCGAGAAGTGCCCCTACGCAGTGTCTACTCCGTACAGCCAACCGACCAAGCTGCTTCATCGCGT